GTAGTTCAGCTTGATATTGAACCCACTATGTAGTTTGAGGCTTGCCTCAAAACTCCCAGCAATTCTTTTACCTCTGCCTTCGGAGTGCTGGGATTACAGGTGTGTGTCACCATGCCTGGCTAAATTTTTTTATTTTAAGAAGGTCTAGCTGTGTAGTCCAGGCTGTCCTTGAACTCATATAGCCCAGGCTAGCCTTGAACATGCAGTGATCCTCCTGCTTCAGCCTCCCAAGTGCTGGGATTACAGGCATGTGCCACCATGTCTGCCAAGGGAATGTTTCTTTTCTTTCTTTCTTTTCTTTTCTTTTTTTTTTTTGTACTAGGATTGAACTCACACCTTGTGCTTGCCAAAGTGAATGGTTCTTATATTCAGTGTTTACTTTTTCTTTTTACTTTGTTGAAAACCTATTTTCTTACTGCTTTAGTTCTTTGTGTAAAATCTTAAGTCTTTTTCTCATCTTTGACTCACTGACCTGTATTTGCAGTCCTGACCTTTCCTTTGGAGTTTACCATTATCGCTACCAACAGATACACCTACTGAATGTCCTTAATTGTTAGTGGAATTATCCTTATTTTAGTCATTTGGCTGTAAAACTTGAATTTATTTTTAAGGTATAATTGGATCAGTCCTTGTATTAGTCAGCTCCTCATTATTGTAGACAAATGCCTGAGGTAATTAGTTTACAAAGAGTTTACTTTGACTCACTTTCTGAAAATTCCAGTCTGAGATTGAGTAGCCATTATATTGGGCCTCTTAGCATCAGGACTGGAACATGCTGCTGAGCAAACTGCTCACTTGTGGGCCAGGAAGCAGAGGAGACACAGAATGGGATGGAAGAACCCCAGTCTCCTTCAAGGGCCTCCTGCAGAAACTACCTGCCACAGGCTACACTGTCTGTCCTTCAGTAGTGTTTTGCTGGGGACCAAGCCATTAGCACTGGCCCTTTAGAGAATATGCAAGTTTCCAAACCACAGTCATCCTTTCTTAGTTGCTATAATGAAATAGCCAGTGGTGGATAACTTACAAAGGAAAATTCATTTAGCTCACAGTTTTGAAGGCTGAGAGCCCTAATGGCCTGGGTCCTGGCTTTTGCAAAGCTCCTGACTTCTTCACATCATTGCAGGTGGCACCTGGTGGGAGCATGTGTGAGAGGGAAGGTTTACATGGAGCAACAAGAAGGCAAATTGTGGGCAGGGCCAGTCTTGCTGTTTTAGAACAGTTAGTTCTAATGAGAACTAACTGAGGTCCTGTAAGAACTACCATAATCCCTTTCAAAGTAGCACCCTCTGTGGTGCACTTCTTAGTAGGCCTCACCTCCTTAAATTGTCAACTCATCCCACATCACCACACTGAGTTATAAAATATTTTATTTAAATCTACAGAAAAGTAGGCAACATATCTGTATACTACCACAAGTGATTTGCGTACTCTAAACCTAGTTTTAAAAATAAAACAGCTAAATCATTTTATATTATTGTCTGTCATTTCTTGCTAAGGCTGGTATGTATGTTTCTGTGCATATTTCATTTTCTTATATATGTACATATCTATAAATGACAATTTTTAGTCTCAAATTTTAGATAAATGCTTTTATAAAGTTATGAATAGTTGGCCTGCCATGGAGACAGGTTTTGCACCCATTGATTCTATTATCTATGGATCAGAAATACTAAAAAAGCCAGTCATGGTGGCTCATGTCTGTAATATTAGCACACGGGAAGCTGAGGAAGGATGATGGCAAGTGTGAGTCCAGGCTGTGAAATTTAACAAGACCCTACCTCAAAAACAAAAACAAAAACAAAAACAAAAACAAAAACATTAAAAATAGCTAAGGGTATAGATCAGCACAAAGGCCTTGGATTTAAAAAAAAACATGTGTAGAGAACATTTATAGGTTTTGGAGAAGGGTGTCATTATTCTCTACACAGTAGAATCTAACAGCTAATAGCATCCACATTGTAGTGGGTATTGTAAGTAATCTAGAGATGATTCATTAAAGTTATATGTGTTGATTGATGTTCACTAGGGTTTGTGCAAATACTGGATGTCTTATGTAAAGAACTTAAGCATCCTTAGATTTTTTTTTTTTTTTGTGATACTGAGGGTTATTGAACTCAGCGCCATGTGCATGGTAGGCAAGCACTCTGTCACTGAGCTACATCCCCTATATCATATATATATAAAACAGAAAAAATGATAGAAATGATACAGAATTTTTTTAACAGTAGGGAATTAACACTAGTTAATATATTGCATGTTGTTATCTTAGAAGTAGTTGTTTAGGTTATAAAATATAGTCACAAAAGTGATCAATGACAGCACAAACTGGGGTTTTTTTTTTGTTGTTGTTGAACTAACAGATTAGTAGTATAGTTACCTATCTAGCATACATATGCATACATACATTTATATATTTTTACCAACATACATATAATCTTTTCCTTTCTTCCTTTTTTCCTTTTTTCCTTTTTCTTATCCCAGTTGTTCTGTCCTTCTGAGTACTTTGTTTCTCTTTCTTTATTACAATATCTGTTGTATATTTTGGATCTTATTACTCTTTCAGTTTTTTATTTTTTATACTAGGGAGACAATACAGTATTTATAAATGTGAGTTTGGTTTATTTCATTTGTGAGTATGGCCTCAAGTTGCTTCCATTTACCTATAAAAGCCTCAAGATTATCCTTCTTAATAGCTGAGTAATATTCCATTGTATGAGAATACCACATCATTTTTATCCATTCTGTAGTTGATGGGCATTTTGGTTGTTTCCAAGGTTTAGCTATTATAAATTGTGTGCCTATAAATGTAGGTGTACATATATCACTGTGGCATGATATTTTCAATTTTTCTCCAAAAGAGGAATAGCAGGATTAAGTGGGACTTCCAATCCTACTTTTTGGAGGAATCTCCACAATGATTTACACAGTGGTTGCACCAGTCTGTACTCCCACAGCACTGGAGAAATGTTCCCTTTTCCCCCACAGCCCCACCAACATTTGGTGTCGGTTGATTCTTGATGGCAGCCCTTCCTTCTGGAGTGAGATGGAATGTTAGTGTTTTGTTAATTTGCATTTCTCAAGTGACCAGTGATGTTGAGCATGTCTTCATGTATTTATTTGACATTTATATTTCTTCATCTGAGAAGTGTATGTTCATCTCAGGTGCCCATTTTTGGATTGGGTCTTTGAATTCGGGGGGCCTGTTGTTTTTCAATTTTTTATATGCTCTAGATATAAGTCCTTTGTCTGAGGGACAGCTGGCTAAAATTCTTTCCATTCTGTGGGTTTTCTCTTTACTTTGTTGGTGATTTCTTTTGAAGTATAAAGAAAAGATCCCAGTTTTAGATTCTTTGAAGTACTTCCCATGCAGTTTGCGTTTTGTTCATGAACTCTTTGCCTACCCCTACGTCTTCAAGATTTCTCCTTACCTTGTCTTTGAGTAGATTTAGTGTTTCTGTTTTAATATTTAGATCTGTGATCCATTTTGACTTTAGTTTAGTGCATGGTAATAGACATAGACTCTTGTTTCAGTCTTTGGCATGTGGAAAGCCAATTTTTCCAGCAGCATTTTGTTAGAGAAGCTATCTTTCCAGTGAACATGTTTAACCCCTTTGTCAAAGATAAGGTGGCTAAGTGTTTTTGTAGTTGTGTCTATATCTTGTAATCTGTGGCACTGATCCTTAGTATCATGCTGATTTTATCACTGTGACTTTGTAGTGTAATTTCAAATTAGGGATTGTGAAGCTTCCTGCCTTTCCTTTGTTGCCCACGATTACTTTTGCTCTTCTAGGTCTCTTCTGTTTCCAAATGAATTTGAGGAATGTTTTTTCTATATCTTTAAGGTATGCTAATTGTGTATTGATTGCTATTGCATTAAATCTGCATAACAGTTTTGGGAGTATGGTTATTTTCACAGTGTTGGTTCTTCCTAACCAAGAACAAAGGGTATCTTTCCATTTTCTGACATCTTTTTCAATCTTTTTTTTTTTTTTTTTTTTTTTTTTTTTTTTTTAGAGCACTATAATTTTCAACATGTAGGTCTTTTACATTCTTTGTTAGGTTAATTTCTAAGTATTCGTTGTTTTGGATACTAATATGAAAGGGATCCATAATTTCTCTCTGAGTTTTTTGTGTACAGGAATGCTATTGATTTTAAAGTGTTAGCTTTGTATCCAGCCACACTGCTGAATTTGCTTATGAACTCTAGTAGTCTTTGGATAGAGTTTTGGGGACCTTCTGTGTAGAGTATCATGTTGTCTGCAAATAGTGGTAATTCAATTTCTTCCTTTCCTGTCCTTATTCATTTTATTTCTCTCTCTTGTCTAATTGCTTTGGCTAATGTTTCCAGAACTGTATTGAATAGGACTGGTGATAGTGGACTTGCTGTTGTCTTGTTCCTGATTTTAGAGTGAAAGCTTTCAGATTTTGTCCATTTAGTATAATTTTGGCTGGCTGTTTGTTATAGATGGTTTTTATCAGATTGAGGTAGATACCATCTATTCCAAGTTTCTATAATTTTTTTTTTAATCATGAGCAAGTGTTGGACTTTATCAAAAGCTTTTTCTGTGTCTATTGAGATGATCATGTGATTTTTGTCTTTGACTCTGTTGATGTGATGTATTACATTTATTGATTTGCATGTATTAAACTATCCTTGCCTTCCTGGGATAAATCCCACTTGGTCATGATGTATAGTCTTTTTGATAATCAGCGCATTCTGTTTGCCAGTATTTTGTTGAGCATTTTCCAGTGATGTTCATTAGGGAGCCTGGTCTATAGCTTTTCTTTTTGGTTGGGATTTTCTCTGGTTTTGGTATCAGAGTAATACTTGCCTCCAGGAATAAGGAAGAATTGCTTCTCTTTCAATTTCATTGAAAAGTTAGGGGAGTATTGGCTTTAAATCTTTTCTAAATTTCTTACAGGATTCAGCTGTGAATCCATTAGGACCTGGGCTTTTCTTTGTTGGTAAGTTTTGAATCACGTTCTCAATTTCAGTAGCTGACACTGCGTTACTCAAAATTGTTATATTTTCTTAATTCAGCTTTGGTAATTCATACATTTCTAGAAATATTTCATTTCCTCTGTGTTTTCTACCCTATATGAATAAGATTTTCAAACTAGGTATTTATGATCTTCTGAATTTCCATGGGCTCTGTATTTCACCCTTTTCATTCCTTATTGCATGAATTTGAGTTTTTTCTTTCTTTTGCTTGATAAGATTGGCTAGAAGTTTATCAATTTTGTTTATTCTCTTAAAGAACCAGCTCTTTGATTCATTAATATTTTGAATTGTTTTCTTAGTCTCAGTTGCATTAATTTCTGCTCTGATGTTTATAATTTCCTACCTTTATGAGCTTTTGGCTTTACTTACTCTTCTTTTTCTAGAAGTTTGAGGTATAGCATTACGTTTTTTATTTGTGCTCATTTGTTTTCCTGATGTAACAATTCATTGCTATATGTTTCCCTCTTAGGACAGCTTATATTGTATCCAACAGATTTCAGTACACTGTATCTGCATTTTCACTGAATTTTAAGTATTGTTTAATTTCTTCTTTAATTTCACCTGTAACCCATTGATTGTTCAAAAGGTTTTTATTTAATTTCCATGTGTTTATGTAGGTTTTACAGTTTCTTTTGCCATTAATTTCCAATTTCAGTGCACTATGGTCAGATAATATACGTGGGATAATTTCAGTTTCTGCATTTACTTAAGAATGTTTTATGGAATAATACATGGTCTAATTTAGAGACTGTCCTATGTGCTGGTGAAAAGAATGTGTATTCTAATGTGGTTGGGTGGAATGCTCTCTAAACATCTACTAAGACCATTTGTTTGCAGGTTTGGTTCAGTTCTGTTGTTTCTTTGCCGACTTTGTCTAGTTAATCTCTTTGTGACAGTGGGGTGTTAAGGTTCCGTTACAATTGTGTTATTGCACATTTGCTTTTTATGTTCATTAATATTTGTCTTATATAGTTGGGTGTTCCTGTATTTGGTGCATATATATTTATGATTTTTAGCTCTTTCTCTTGGATTATTCCCCTAACAGGTATGTAGTGACCTTCTTTATCACTTTTAGTCATTTTTAGTTTGAAGTTCACATTGGCTGCAAACAGAATAGCTACTCCTTCTTTTTTCTGGGTTCCTGTTGCATGGAATACTGTTTTCCATCCTTTGACTTTTAGTCTATGACTTTCCTTTTGAGTCAGCTGTGTTTCTTGTATACAGCATACTGTTGGATCTTGTTTCTTGATCCATTCTGTCAACCTATTTCTTTTAGTTGGTCAATTGAGGCCATTTACATTTATGGATATTACTGATATGCACTGACTCAGCTTTGTCATGTTATTTTCCTGTTACTGGTTTCCTGCTTTTTCCTCTTGTTTAATTGCTTACTCTGTCTGGTGGTTTGTTTCTGTTGTTGTGCTGGAAACTGTAATCACTTTTATCTCTAATTAGTATGTCTTTCAGCATTCTTTCAAGAGTTGGTTTGGTGGACATGAATTCCTTCAGTTGTTCTTTGTCATGGAAGTATCTTATTTCTCCATTAATTTTCAAAGAAAATTTTGCAGGGTACATTAATCTGGGTTGAAAGGTGTTTTTTTTTCAGGCTTTGAAACACTTCACTCCAAGCTTGTCTTGACTTGCGGGTTTGTAATGGGAAGTCTGCAGTGATTCTGATAGGCTTACCTTGATAGGTGAGTTGTGCCTTTTCTCTAACAGCATTTACTATTTTTTTTTTTGCTTAATTTCTGGGATCTTAATTATTATGTATCTGAGTGTAGATTTATTTTGCTTATGACTGGTGTCTATCTGTTGGTGTCTATCTGAGTGTAGATTTATTTTAGTTATGACTGTTCGGTGTCTCACTTATCTGTATATCTGATTCTTTTCCCATATTTGGGAAATTTTCTGCTACCATTTCTGCGAATAGTTTATCAGGATCATTTGTGTTGATTCCTGAATCTTCAGTGATGCCTATTGTCATATATTATTTCTCTTTGCATCATCTTGAAGCTGTTGAATTGTCATTTCAAGCTCTCTTGTTATTTTTGAAAGTGCTTTCCTTTCATAATCACTAGTTGTGATCTTGTCCTCAGTGTCTGAAATTCTGTCCTTAGCTTCATTCAAATGGTTTCACCAGCTTTCAATAGAAATTATTTCCTGGTATCTCTGAATTTGTTTCATGCATTCTACTTCTTTTCTATCTTGTTCATTCAAGGTTTCCATCATTTTCTCATGGTCCTGTACCTTTTTTTTTTTTTTTTTTAACTATGTCTTCTTTAGCTATGCTGAGAAGCTCCTTTATTAAGGTTGTCATTTCTTTACATGTGAGATTATTTCTAATCTGATTTTCTCTATAGCCTCATGGTTTTATTTCTTTATTTCATTTGCTATCTTTTCAGAAATTTCAGTTGTATGACTTTTAATGTCTTGTATTTCAGTGTCTTTTGTACTTGTTCCTGATGGACTGGACATTTGAGATTGCATTTTGCTTTTTCGTTTTATTATTTTTAGGGGTTAATATTTTGCTCTTTTCAATCCCACTAGTCTCCACTGTCCATGTGTGTGTCTTAGGGTCCTACTAAATGGTTGATATTTGTCCAGTGCTGGTTCCCACAATGAAAGGAAGGGGCCAGTCACCTGAATTCCTCCTGTAGGGCCTGTTGGGTGAGTCCTGTATTCTTCCAGAGATGACTAGCCTAGGAGTATTGATGTAAGCCAACACTTAGCTCATGTTGTTACCGTGACTTCAGGCTTTTCTAGGCTGCCAGATATACCTGGTATAGTGTACAACTCAGCTGGAATCCTACTTTGTCACTGGGTGTCTTATCAGCCCTTTCGATTTTCTCCAGGTTAGGGGATGCCTTTTTGGCACTCTCCTCAACCCACCTAGTGTTCTCTGTATGGAAAAAAGATTCACCCACACTCTTGCCACATTGCCAAGGTCCTACAGCGGGTGGAGAGTTCACTGCTGCACCTATTTACTCACTGAGGTCCTCTAATTGAGGGAGAAGTTCAACACTGTTGTAAGCCGGCTGAGGTCCTCTATGTGGCCAGTGGGTTACTGAGACTCCCACCAGCCCACCAAGGTTCTGCAGGCTGTTAAAGGGGTTGCTAATTGTCTGTGGGCTGCTACAGTCTTTTGGGCGGGTCAGGAGGGTGATGGATGATCCTGCTGATCTCCAAGGTCATGGGACAAGGAAGAGGGGAAACCATCGATACTGCCTGCACTAAGTCTGTAGAGCCAGAAGGAGGCTGAGGCCAATCATCTTGCTGGCCCCCAGGTCTGTGGGGAGAGAAAGGGAGCGAGGTCAGTAATCCAGTTGGCCCCTAGGTCTGTGGGGCGAGGTCATGTATTTTTGAAAGTTGCTTTTTTGTTGTTGTTGTTTTTAACTTCACACATTTATTTTATAAATAGGCACTTCTCCAAGTCAAGGGCATCTGATACTGGGTAGGAAATATAGTACTACCTATCTAACTAATATTTCAGTGGGGGGAGATATAGTAAATAAAATTTATTATAATATCCTGGTAGTAAATGCTGTGAATGATAACTGAACAGGTCAGGGGAGAAACAATGATGTGGGAATGGGACGTATGCTATTTTTAGATGAAGTAGTCAGAATTCTTCTTTCAGAGGTAACATTTGAGCAACTGAATTGAGAGAGTAAACCACATGAAAGTTTGGAAGAAGACAATTCCAAAAGGAAACATCAAGTGCAATGACCTTGCTGGGCTTGTTGGAGCAGGCCTATAATCTCAACACTCAGGAGGCTAAGGTAGGAGGATCATTGTGAGTCTGAGGTCAACGTAGCCTACCTAGTGAGTTAAAGGCCAGATGGAGCTACATAAGAAAACCCTGTCTCAGAAAAAAAGAAAAAAGAAAGATGAAGTAAAGATAACCTTCAAGTGCTTGAGAAAGAGACGTCAAGTGTGGTTAAATGTAGTTACTTGGAGAATGCTTATGAGTTTGGAGGAGAAGCCAAGGGCCCTCCAAATCATGTAGGTCTTACAAAGTAATGTTAAGAAGTTTGTAGTTTGGGTTTAATAAAAAGTCACCAGATGAGTGTTTTTTGAGCAGAGAAATGGTATGAGTTGACCTATTTATGGCATTAGTTTTATGCTGGAGTTTTGTGTGGTAGAAAGAACTACCGAAATTCTTACTATATTGATATAGAAGGATTTTCAAGATATATATCTTGTTCTTTTTCAGTATATAATTATTTACAGGAAACTTTTTGTTACTTGCTTATTTTATGTAAAATTTCTCTGGAAGGATGTTAGAGGCTTATAAAGGGATCCATATGCGAAAGTCTCTCCCCCATTTTCTCTTTACACCTTCCTCCTTTCCCCCTCCCTCTCTTTTCTCTTTTCTCCCCCTTCCTCTCCTCCTTGATATTATAGGGAGTTAAACTCAGGGTTTTGTACATGCTAGGTAAGTGCTGTACCCCTCAGTTTCTTCTCTGGTCCTTTTAAAATTTTATTTTGAGACCAGCATATTTCCCGTGCTAACATTGAACTTTCCTCAGCCATCTGTACTGTATTACAGGTATGTGCCACCATGCCTGGCTCTACTTTATTTTTTTTTTAAGGGACTAAAAACAGTAAAGTGGAAAAAAAAAAAAAAAAAAAAAAACAAATAGTGAGAACAATATTGACTTTCAAAAGCAAGACAAAAGGAAACCCTGCATAGTTGCTATGCTGCATATTGTTATCCTCTAAACAAATGCTTAGACTACCAGCCCCAAGCCTGCAAAGTCAGTCAATACAAGCATTAAGTTGTTTTTGTACCTCAGTTGCTATCATCCAGTCTGTGTTCCTCCAAATCAGCCTGTGGGGTAGGATGTGAGGTGTTTTTGTTATCCCCCAGTCTGCTCTCTGGTTGGCTCCTGGAAAAGGCAGGCTGGCTTTTTGGTTCTTTTCTCGGCCCCTGGTTGCTGCTGGCTTCTACTTTCTGTATGTCAAGAAAGTATGTTAAAATTATACCAAAAAATATACAAATTATTAGTACCTAACTATCTGAATTTTTACAAACTGTCTTCCACCATGCAACTACCCAGAGCAATAAGCAGAATTTTACTAGGCCAGTAGAAGCCCCTTAGTTTCCCTAATGTAGTTATTACCTCTAATCTTCCATGCTAATTTTGTAGGGTAACCTCTATGCCAACTTTCTGTTGCAGGCATGAGTTTTGCCTGTTTTTTTTTTTAACCAGCATTCTGTTTATCATAATTTAATTTTATATTACTCTTTTTATTTTAGCATCCTGAAGGTAATGCTTAAAGGTTTCTAGTTTCACTCCATTGTGGTGCGAGAGATCACTGTAGGATTTCCTTCCTTTAGATATGATAAGGTCTTTATTGTTGCTGTGAACATGTTCTATTTTGAATTAAAAAAAAAAAATTTCGGAATAGGATAATATATGGAGATAGAGAGTAGCTCAGTGGTTGCCTAGAATTAAGGGTGAAGGGTTGGGAGATGACAGGTAGTGGGTGGAGTGTTTTGTTTTGGGATAACAAAAATGATCTCTATTTGATTGTGGTCATAATTGTTCAGCTTTGTCAGTGTGCTAAAATGTAATGAATTTTACACTTTAAGTTTATAAATTGTGTAGTATGAAAATTTTAGTTCAATGAAGCTACCATTTTAAAGAAAAAAGTTCAGAAGTACATAGAACAAATCGTATGGGATCCCTTTCTTCTATCTCTTTCGAAGTTAAGTGCAGTAAATAATTTAGTCCTGTGTGAGTTTCCAGTCTTTATCAGTTTACATACACACAAAACTTTATATTTTTCATGTTAGTACATTAGTACTGTGGTACTTATTGATGATGATAATAGAGTAGTACTTAACATTTATTGTTTTCTATGTACCTGCAGTTCTAAATTATTTATATGTAACAAGTTATTCACATTTTATAGATGGGGGGAAATAGGCAAAGGTGAAATACCTTGACCAAGTTAGCATCTGTTTTATTTTTTGTAATGGCTACATATTCTTATCACATTAAAACTACTTTTATCATCATAATTGTGTTAAGTTATTCACATTTTATAGATGGGGGGAAATAGGCAAAGGTGAAATACCTTGACCAAGTTAGCATCTGTTTTATTTTTTGTAATGGCTACATATTCTTATCACATTAAAACTACTTTTATCATCATAATTGTGTTGTTTGTATTCACTGTTACATTTAGAATGAAGGATCTCTAAATTCATTCGTTAGAATCATTTTAGTTCTTTAAGCTTCTTTCACAGTATATCTAGCCAGTGCTTATGTGGCTTCTGTCACACATGCACTGTGTGGCCTAACCTGCATATGTCTGCCTATGTATTTTTTGTTCGTATTTCTGTGCCTTTGCAATTTCTCTGTTCATCTGAAGCACTCAAACCATGCCTTTATTTTCTGACTTAGATGTATTTTATCTTACATCTTTGATGTAATTGTAACTGAGAACAGACTTTCTTAGGATTTCTTTGCCATGTTACATTTTATGATCTATGTAAACTGTTTTATTACATTTCTGGTTAATGCAGGCAATTTGGCTTGCTTGGAAAGTTACCTTGCTTAGGTTGGGGAAGAGGAGGGACAGGGCATGTAGCACCTGAGATCACCTTCACTTTTCTGTACCTGCCCCACTGCTTCCAGGACAGCAGACTGGAAGCCATTGCCACGTGTTGGTAGTGCCTGGCTGTTAGTATGTTCTCAGGAGGTATATGCTGAATAAATCAATTTGTTGGCTGTTGAGAAGCAGCCTATTTGCTGCGACTTTTTAAAAAGCCCCAATATGGCTACACATAGCAGAGAGCACATAACAACTAACTGGTAATTGTTGAGTTTAACTCAGTTTTATTTTGTTTTACCTGGATTTTAACTGAGTACTTTTAGTCTTTCTGAGAGGGTTCATCCCAATCCAGAATAGTCTTGACACTTAAGTTTGTCAGAGCTGCAGCACTATTTAGTAAAATAGTACAAGAAAGGAAGCATTCTTTGTACTGGACCTTCTTTTTCTAAATATTCCTGTTCACTAGGTGCTTGCTTTCTGTAGTTGGCCGGCTATATAGTGATCTACAAGAGATTTTATTCTTAACAGTAAAGTACCACAGCGTGTCACTTTCTCTTGTTATTGCCAATAACTCTTTAATGATCAAGTGTCTTCATTAAGTGATACTGCTTCACAAACCAGTAAAAATTAGAAAATGTAAGCCGACTTTTGGGTTAGATTCTGTATTTATTTTCTTTATGCTTACTTATATTCCTAGTTTTAAGAATACATGCTTGCCACTTTTCTGGCTGTTATATGTGTTACGATTTATTTGCGGGTTTGTTACATCTTATGAGAACTTGTAATACAGTTTGTAATAATGTGACTTGAATAGTATCATGGCTTTTGCCTAAGACTTGTAAAATACAATTTTTTTTCTTTGATCCTTTTTCTTTCTTTCCTTTTTTTCTTTCTATATTTGACCTGTAATAGTATCTTTCTTTTGTACCAAGAATCAAACTCAAGACCTCACATTTTGCAGGTAGGCAATGTGCCACTGAGCTGTGTCCCCAGGCCCTATTGGTACACGTGTGCAGTATATAATGTTTACATCCATTGGAGAGAATTGATACATGTACATAACGCATTTCATTTTCATTCTTTTCCCCTTTACCTCTACTCCTTTTTATTTTTCCAGCATCAAATTCATTTATATATTTATTGTGCAAGACATTATGAAAGTAACTATCATATATGTAGATTGAAACCAAATTTAATAGACCAAAGAACATATAAAACATGTAAGACAATTGTTCTAAATCAAGGTATGTTTTTAGATACATTGTCTGCATTGGATTACAATACCTTTTTTTCTTTCTGTTTCCTAGTATCTGTCTTTTGTTATCTCTGTATCTAATCTGTATTTCTGTGTATCTACTGAGTTTTTCATAGAAGAGAAACCATGTGATATTTAAGTTTATATGTCTGAGTTACTTACCATTATGGTCTTAGGGTGCATCTATTTTCCTACATATGACTCTTTTACCCTTTTTTAATGGAAGAGTAATACTGTGTATAAATACCATATTTTTAATGCATTCATATGTTGATAGATACACAGACTGTTTTCCAAGATTTAGCTGTTAAGAATTGTGCTTCTGTAAACATGGGTATGCATTCCTCACTGTGGTATGATGTCTTTAACTCTTAGGAAGATAACTACAAGGAAGAATAGATGGGTTGAAAGGAATTTCTACTTTTTTGAGGAACCTCCATACTGATTTCCATAGTGGTTCTATCGGTTTACAATCTTCACCAACAACGAAGAAGGGTGCCTTTCTCCCCACGGCCTTGCCAGTATTTGAGTTTTTGATGAGAGCCATTCTTTCTGGAGATGAAATCTCAGTGTTGTTTTTTGCATTTCTTGAATGGCCAGTAATGTTAACTTTTTTCCCCACATATTTATTGCTTTATCTGAGAAATATCAGTTCATTTCAGATGTCTTTTTTTTTGTGTGTTTGTTTTTTAAGACAGAGTTTCTTTACATAGTTCAGGTTGATTTTGAACTCTCAGCATCCTCCTGCTTCAGCCTCTTGAGTGCTGGGATTATAGGCATATGCTGCTGCCATCCCTGGCTTAGATGCCCATTTTTAAATTGGGTCTTAATGGGGGAGTGTCTTATTTTTTCAAGTTCTTTATATATTCTAGATATTGATCTTTTTATGAGGAGGACCTGGCAAGAATTTTTTGCTGTTTTGTAGGCTGTCTGTACTCTGTTAGTGGTTTCCTTTGCTGTGCATACTAAAACATTTTTAAAAGAACAGTGATTTTTAGGGAAGACATAAATTTCTCTTAGGACTTTTGGTTAGATCAAGATATATTTCAGAATTGGTTTAGTTTGTAACATTTATTTCAGTAAAGGAAAGTACTACTTCAGAAGCAAATCTTAGAAGTCTGTTAAACGGCTAAGTGGTCTCATCAGAAGAAATGAAGTCTAGGCCTGTTTTTTGGATAATACCAAAGTAGAGCAACGTATTTGTGCTTTTGGATGTTTGGCATTGACAGTAGAGTTTGGTATTATAAAGGAGGAAGTCAGTGGTCACAGACTTTTAAGAGAAATTTTTTTCTAGACTTATTTTTTGTTTTGTTTTGCTTTACAATGCTTTTTTTCCCTCTTGCTTACAGACAATGTGCTTTTTAAGTATATTGACTAAAATGCATTAAATTGAATTGGTTTAATTTAGGATCCTTTCCCCCTTTCTCTTTTAGGACTCGAACCAATGAGAGAAGCATATGGCACTTGTGAAGATAAATGTCATTGCTCCTTCTTTACTTGGAACTCCTGCTTAGGACCTGTATGTGACTTTTCATCTGAGATCTGTTCTCCCACTAGCTACTGACTTTGATTACAGGAAGGCTTCTGAAGATTCGTATCAAATGACGTCAATGGCCAGCTTGTTTTCTTTTACTAGTCCAGCAGTCAAGCGATTGTTGGGCTGGAAGCAAGGTGATGAGGAGGAAAAATGGGCAGAAAAGGCAGTTGATGCTTTGGTAAAAAAGCTAAAAAAGAAAAAAGGTGCCATGGAGGAACTGGAGAAAGCCTTGAGCAGTCCAGGACAGCCAAGCAAGTGTGTCACTATTCCCAGGTCTTTAGATGGACGCCTCCAGGTTTCTCACAGAAAAGGTTTACCACATGTTATATATTGTCGTGTGTGGCGGTGGCCTGATTTGCAGAGTCATCATGAGCTAAAACCATTGGATATTTGTGAGTTTCCTTTTGGATCTAAACAAAAAGAAGTTTGTATCAACCCATACCACTATAAGAGAGTGGAGAGTCCAGGTATGTTGTACTCCTTTGAGAAAAAATTTTTTAAAATTGTGTGCCTGATTCATATATATTTAGATTTATTAATCACAAGGTATATTAACCTTGTGTTTCAGTTTTAAAACTTCAGTCTTGCAAAGAGTACTGGATTTGAATTTAGCTTTTTTAATGTAGATGATATTACTCCCAAGTGTCATATCTAATTCATTATACACAGTAAAGACTCATGTATGTGCTCTACCTTTCTGTGGATGACCTGTCTCTATTTATCTAAGAGTTAAACCCCTTGTGTACAGTGGATCCTGTTCCTTTTTATCTGTTCAAGAGCTTTGTACCTACAATAGCATCCCTCTCCTTTGTATTGTATTTTCTCATTTTCCTAGACTATTTCTGAAGCATACAAGCATTTCATAATATTGCCTATCCTAAAATAAAAGTTAAAAAAGAATTCCTGTCATTCACAAATCTCCTACCCCATTTCCCACACTGTTTCTTCTAGCCATTTTATGAGTCTTTTATTATTTCCATATCTCTCTTTCCTTTCTTTCTTATCTTTCCAGTTAGTCTTCCTTCCCTATTGTTTCATATGTCAAGATCACTAGTGACTCCTTTCTTAAATATCCAAGGGTCATTTCTCATTCTCTTTCTACTTACTGTCTCAGTAGCATTTGATACAGTTCATCTCCTGCCCTCCCACTAAAAATTTTCTTTTTGTCTTTTGAAGACACTCCTCTTGTGGTTGTCCAACTTTACTATTCTTGCTCAGGGTGTTTGCTGTTTAGTCTCCTGTTTCACAGTATTCAGTCCTTGGGCTTTATTTGTTATCTATATTCCTTAAGTGTCTCATGTTTTAAAGTAATCTATAACATGTTTTAAAATTATAACATGATGCTGATAATTTCAGTTCTAGAATCAGCTTCTTTCTTTAGTTTTAGAATTGTATAAAGTCAGTTACATAATAGCTCAAATGTCTAGTAAACGTCAGCTATAATATGGCTAAGCCTCCCCACCAAATGTTTGTCTCCTGTTTTCTCTATTGAAGTACATAGCACCTCATTCATTCATACAGCTGTTGCTGTGGCATAAAGGTTGGCTTTTATTCTTTTTAAGTCTTAGATTTGATCAATGAACAAATGCTCTTTGCCGAACCTTCAAAATATGTCTTGATGCCATCACCTTTTGGTAATAGTACAGTTTTTCACCCTTGGTAGTTTCCTAATTGGTCTATCTGCTTCTTTTTCTCCCAACTCACTGTGTTTTCTGCACAGCAGCTAGAATGAAATATAAGATAACATCAAATCATGTCAGTTCTCACAAAAAACACTTAGCACTACTATACTAAAAATCAGAATTCTTAAACAGAATTCTTAAAATTAAACTTAAAATAGATGGTTTCAGCACTACACCTGTCCTTAAACACCCTATGACTCTTGAACTTGCCATACTCCTGTCTAGATTTTAATTCATGCAGTTTCCCTTGCTTACAGCGCCCTCCTTGCAGAATCTTTTCGTGGCATACGTTCTCACTCCATTTAGTCTTTGCTCAAATACCCTCATCACTAGTTCATTCTATATAGATATGTAGTTGATTGACTGGTGCAGAGCCTTTCTCTGTCTCACTTATTACATCCCTAGTGTTCAGGATTAGTACAATTTCCTGAAAGTTGGTAGCTAATGACCAATAAGTATTTTTTGGTAATACATGAATTGCATAAACCGATAGTTCATGTACTGCTACTCTTAACAGAATACCAGCCTAGGTAAATTATAAATGATAAGTGTTTATTTGCCTCATAGTTCTGGATGCTAGAAAATGCAAGATAGGCTGCATCTGGTGATGGTCCTCTGACGGCATTCTAACATGGCGATGGCCAGTGAGTGTAAGGCGGCAAGAAGGGATCGAACTTACAACAAACCCTTTCTCGTGATGAGTAATTTACTCCTGCATAACATTACCTAAGCACCTTTTATCAGATCCAACTCCAATACTTTTGCATTAGTGATTAGTTTTCCAACACATGAACTTTGAGGGATGTATTGTAAATATTAGCAGCTGAGAATAATAACTGTACAACAGATTATCCCAAATGTAATAGCTTTCAATACATATTTATTACTGCACAGTTTGTTTGGAGTAAGTCCAGGAATTTTGTGTATTCCCGTAGCCAGGAAGTGAGTAATAATTGTCCATCACAGCTTAGTAGGATTTTTGTAAGCTTCCAGTCCATGTTGATTAGAGCCAGGATCTTATCAGATGGGAAAGGATCTATTTCCAGAGCTCACTGTGGAGTTGACAGAATTCAGTTCCTTGCAGACCATTGGACTTTGTGGTGATATCAGCTGGAGACTGCATTCAATTGCTTACCACATAGTCTTCTTCAGGTAATTCACATTATGGCAGCTTCCTCAGAGCCTGCAAGGAAGAGAGAAAGAGGGTCTTCTAACAGGAAGGATGTTCATATGGAATGTGAATCCCCCTTCTCCTCCTCCTCCTCCTCCTTCTTCTTCTTCTTCCACCTCCTCCTCCTCCTCTTCTTCCACCTCTTCTTCTTCGAGACAATGTCTCACTAAATGGCTAAATTGTCCAAACTAGACTTGAACATGTGATCTTTCAGCCTTGGACCTCCCAGAGTGTTAAAATCATAGATGTGCCACCACACCTGTCATTTATTTCTTATGCAGGCCACTAAAAATCTATTCTGCTGGTCTTCACATGTACATGGAGATTCCCTAGAGAGAGACATTCCATTCCCTGCAGAAATATTTAAGGTCCTATTCTGTGTCAGGCATTGTGTTAGCTAATAAGGAATCAATACGAACAGAAGGAATCAATACGGATAAAGCTTGTGTCCTCAGGGAGGTTCTTTCTCAGGCACAGGGAAAACATGTGGTGCTCTCAGGAGACAGATAGGGATGGTAAAGAGCAGTTGAGATTGAAGTAGAAATATGTAACACTAACAATTACATGAAATACTAATATTTTTGATTATTGCATATGTTGCATATTATTGCACATAATCTTCTCACCTTGCTGTATGCTGCTAGTGAGGAACAGGTATACCACTGAGGGGGAGAGAGATTAACCAAGGATGTGAATACCCAGAGGCTGTAGTTATAAGGTTGTCTTAGAGTGAATCTGCTGCATTTGAGGGAGTATGAGCGCAGTGTGAAAAAGATTGAAAATAATACTGAGTGTTAAAACTGGCGAAAAAAAAAAAAAGAAAAGAAAGAAATAGCAGTAATTGTACTCTACAAGAACTTAATAAGAGGTTTAGTTGAAGTGAGATGATATTTGAGGTAATTTTTGATTTCTTAAGGCTATGGAATGGAAAATTTGGAGGATTTAATAGAAAAATGTTTGAAAAACTCTCCTAGTTATTTGCTAGGAGAAAGTCTAGGAATTCGTGTATTTCCATAGCCAGGATGTGACTAATAATTATCCAGCACAAATGCTTTATTTTTTGGTAATTCTTTTTTTAAACTATAATCATTTTATAGAAAGAATAAAGCATAGCTCTAATACTTTCAAGTGACTCTGGAAAACCTGTGTCTTAATGTAGAGAGACTGTAGAAGCCAGCTTTTGGTCAAAAGTTCAAACATTTTGGGGAAGAGGACATATTGGCCCAACTAGGTTAACTTGTATTCCTTTTTGACCAAGCTAATATAGCAGGAAGGATAATTTAACAGTACCATGTTAATAAAGTAATAGTGGTGGTAACATTAAGAGCAGTTGACATTTACTGAGCACTTATAGACTAGGTACTTTTCTAATCTTGTGATTGAGCACTTACGGACTGGGTGCTTTTTTTGATGTAGAGGATTATTGTCTGATAGGTTTAGAAAACGGTAGTAAAACGTTAGAGCTCTTTAAGTGTATTTATAAGATTATAGACAAGAAAAGTAAACCTTGAAGAAACATAAGGTCACACAATTTTTGGTATACAGAAGAGTAAGTATTGCAGAAAAGTTAAAAAAAAAAAAAAGGAAGATGGTTGGAAAGCAATAATTAATGTAAGAAAAGTGGAGGGCCAGAGTAGGTGATCTTGTGTTTAATTGGCAATATTGCAAGTAGTTAAGACTGTAAGTTCCACAACCAGACTTCCTGATTTGAATTCTGGTTTTACTGTATCCTACCAGGTTACTTATGCTTTTTGTGAGTTAATATGAGAATAATCCTACCCACTTGCCATAGTTATTATGAGGACTGGATGAGTCAGTGCATGAAAAAGGGCTTAAAGTTAAGCATATTGTGGCTTAGAATCAATGTCAAATTAATTGTATAAAATAACACGTTCTGGAAAAAGGAGCTGAGCCTGGTGACTTATGCCTGTAATCCCAGCATTGTGGAGGCTGAGGCAGGCAGATCCCATAAGTTTGAGACCAGCCTAAGCTATGTAGTGAATTCAAGGCCAGCCTGAATTGCATAGCAAGGCCCTGTCTCCAAAAATAAAAAACGAGAAATAATACTACAACAGTTTGTAGAAATGAGAATTGAAAGAGCCTACTGACAAAGTAGTTAGAACTGGGACAAAAAACTAATACATGAACTTTTAACATACCATGGATTAAAAAATTACATTCTGATAGTGTCCAGAGAAAAAATACAGGAACAAAAGGCTAATACATGAACTTTTAACATACCATGGATTAAAAATTATATTCTGAAAGTGTCCAGAGAAAAAATACAGGACATATTCTGCTAGAAGTCAGAATATTGGATTTCTCCCTGCGATTCTGTATTTTAGAAAAAAAAGTAAAACAAATTCTGCTGGCAGACAAGCAAACATCCTGTTTTTCTTACCTTTTCTTAGGAAGCTAATAGAGGACAAGGCTCATGAAATGGGATACACAGTGACTGAGACACAAAGTAGGGGGTCCGAGGACTTCAGGTTTGTAGGAGGTTTAAGTAGCAACTCATCCAGACCAGAGGAGAAGGTGGAAGATCTGGGGGAAACAGAAATCAACAAAGTATTTGATAATTTATAGCATCTGAAAGATAATCTTGATTGTCATTTGACAAATCTATTGGAATACTGGAAATAATAGTACATAAAACTAAACAAGTGAAAGAATATTAACTTCAATAAAAGCATTATTCAGGGAAAAAAATCACTACACACTTGGCTTACTGATGAATTATAGACATACATAATATAAATATTAGATTGTGATTTAACCCAGTTTTTAAATGTAAATTTACTCTGGGGTAAAGAAGAATAATGTGAGAAAGCTGCCCCATTTGCCATAAGACCAAATTTATAAAGAAAGTCTTCAGAAATTAATAATAACAGAAACATATTGATTGGCAATACATACATAAAGTAAATGGTAAAGAAATGGCTAAAAGGTTAAATTTGCTTATGGTAATGACCTGAGAAAGGCCTAGATAATTATCTTTTTTGTTATAATACCATCTTTTTTTTATATGCTCGTTATAATGTTTTAAACTCCTTACTATTTTGGATGAAAATAAAATAATTCTTAAAAATCATGTGCACAGATAAGATACAAGCAGGAGGGAAGCCAGTGATTTTAACTATGTCTTAAAAAAGAAAATCTTTACTTAACTGAATGGCAGTTATTAAGTCTTTCAGCAGATAAACAGCAGTTCTTACTGCCTAATGCCCCGCTCTCCACGGCAGCTGCCCATCACTCAGGGAAACAGCAGTTGTTATACACAGTGTAACAAAGGCAGTTGGACTTATTGTTGACTGCATTTGTCCAGCAGTAACTCATTCTGCAAAAGATGAAACAGTACAAACACTGACTGAAGAGCCCGTGGTTTGTTGTGTCCAGTCTACTACTTTGGGGAACCAGACTGTGATTTAGTTAACTGAAAAAAGTCATTCATTCATTCATTCATTCATTGATTCATAGTACTGGGGATTGAACCCAGGGCTTTTACACTGACCTACATCCTTTTTCACTTTTTACTTTGATACATGGTTTTGGTAAGGTTTGAACTTAGCCTTGTGTCTCAGCCTCCCAGAGTCAAAATGACATTGACCAATACAGGAAAATTATAAAAGAGATAAATTATATATTAAGAGTGAAGAACTGGTATCAAGTTTCCTATAGGGAAAAGAAATGTTTAAGTGGGGTGATGAAGTGAACATTGGACTTAGGTTAATATTTAACTTGAAAATTTTTCTTTAAATGTTTACACATTACTATATATACAGTAACACAGTGTGGTATCTGAGATTGTGAACTCAATTTGTTTTATGATTTTGGGGAAGATGGCTGCATTTGTATCTGTGGAGAAGATAGCTTTAGTCTTGTTTGTCAACCGATACAGAAGATGCAAACAAGAAGCAAAATTTTGCTGAATGCTTTTGTTTGTGAACTGACTTGCTTGCAAACAGAAGTGTTTGTGAACTGAGGCATGTTTATTATCAAATATGTAGAAGACTGATTTTGAAAGACTGATTTTGAATGGAGGACTTCTGCCTGGAGAATATTCTATGTTCTGTAGAGAAAACCTTACGGAAGAATTTAAAGTTTGAGATTTCTCAAAGTAAAAATGATGAAAGTGTTCAGAATTGGAAATGTGAAAGTTTGCGGGGCATCCACATTCTGACCTTAAATGTGTTGTCTTACTCTGGATCAGTGCATAGGCCAACACTTTTTTCTTTCCCTCCTCCTGTCCTCATCCCTAACACCCTGATGTGAAATTCTTCCAGTTGGTTAAGGTCCAGTTGGGTTTGTCTTTTTGACAATATTTTAATTCCTTAAACTTTCACTGTGCAGTAGTGGCTGTTAAACGTTGTATGTCCCATAGAATAAAGTGGTATCTTTCCTGAATTTTCTTTCTTCCAGAGCCCTTTTATAGGCTAACTGTTGGCAAGAATTTTGGGTCTAGTTTTTATGTAAACATGTATTCAAGTTTCTATAAAACAGCCCTTCCTAAAAGTAAACTGTTCTAACAGATTTATAGTATGTGAATCGTTTCTGCCAGCCCCTTAAGGATTGAATGGTACATTTGTTGTAGTCATTCTTGACCAATTACTTTTGATTTTTGTCTTTCAGTCTTACCTCCAGTATTAGTGCCTCGTCATAATGAATTCAACCCCCAACACAGCCTTCTGGTTCAGTTTAGGAACCTGAGCCACAATGAGCCGCACATGCCACAGAATGCCACGTTTCCAGATTCTTTTCACCAGCCCAACAACACTCCTTTTCCCTTATCTCCAAATAGCCCCTACCCGCCTTCCCCTGCTAGCAGTACCTATCCCAATTCCCCAGCGAGCCCTGGACCAGGAAGTCCTTTTCAACTCCCAGGTAAGACTTCACTGATACAGGAAGGAAAAAAAAAAAAAGAAAGAATCCTGGAGAATCAGTAACCATTCTTACTTTTGCCCTCTAGGTGAACTGTTATACAGAACTCCTTATTTCTTACTGTACATTTTTAAATGTAATTCTTTGATTTTGAGATGAAGTTGGATTTCATTGTGTCAAGTACTATTTGTTTAAAATCTAGAAGTAGAATTAAATACTGTTTAATGTATTAGGAATTTGCTCAAAAGCAAATTTTCATATTTTGTCTTAGATTCAGTGCTTGTTGTAGCTGTATCTCAAAATATATTTTGTACAAACCTTGATGTGAAATACAATTTATATTGTTTTACAGTTACTGAGACAAAAGTTTAGTTGTTTCTGGAAAAAAAATTCACTCATTAATGTTAGTGCTTAAAAGATTCCATGGTTAACATTCAGTTTTCTAAGCTCCTTACTTAATCATTTAATAAGATACAACAGCCATTTTTGAACATTGCAAAAGTATTAGACATTTACTGTTAGTGTTGATGACAAATTCTAAAGGGACATAGTTTTATTTTCTAGTTTTAAGTGATGGTGTGCGGTATGTAATGACTAATTTAAAAATGTCAGTAGTATATATATAAACTAGGATAATCTGTGTCTTTCAGATTATTTTACAGTTTTTCTGAGCATGTGATTCTATGAAAATAAAGATGAAATTGATTTTGAATTCTGTTTCAGTGTATTTTAGTAATATTCTTAGTATTGTGGATTATCAGAGATCTGGACTAAATAAATATGGGTTTGTAGTAGGTTTTGAGTAGCTGTTAGATGAGCTGACTTTTCTGTTTTAGGATAGGATCATATTTTTGTGTGTGTAATGTTGAGTAATGAACCCTGCTTGCTTTGAGAGGATGATGGTTTTACCTGCTCTTTTGGGATTTGTCTCATTTTATTTCTCTTAGCTGATACACCTCCTCCTGCCTATATGCCACCTGATGATCAGATGGGTCAAGATAATTCCCAGCCTATGGATACAAGCAATAATATGATTCCTCAGATTATGCCCAGTATATCCAGCAGGGGTAAGAGAAGTATAGTACTTATTATATTTATTTTGTTGTTGTTAGTTTTATTTTTTTAATTAAAAAATTTTTTGTTATTGGGAATCAGACTCAGGACCTTGCACTTGCCAGGCAGGCTCTGTGCCACTGAGCTGTATCTCTGGCTCTATTTTTATTGTTTTTTAACTTCTTAGCCACTTTCACTTACTTGAATTTTTTTTCAACATTGAGAGTTAAACCCAAGGCCTCCTACATATTAGGCAAGCACTTCACTCTACCATTGACCTACGTCTTGAATCGTGGCAACTTTTAAAAAATCTTCTGTGAAATAATTTATATACTATAAAATGTTTGTAAATATTTACTCCTAGGCTAGATTTCTTTTCATTTTTTAAAAATAATGTCTTTTGAATCACAATAGCTTTAAATTTTGAAGTTTATCAATTTTTGTTTTCTGTATCATGATTTTGGTATCACATCTAAGAAAGTTTTGTTTGTCTACTGATCTTGCAAATATTTGTTGGTATTTTCTTTCTTTAAATTTTATTTTTTTTTGTTTTTTGGGGTTTTTTTTTGGTATTCTATAAAATGTTCTGTAGTTTTAGTGTTTACATTAGTTTAGATTCACTTGGAGTTCAGTTTATGTGTGGTATATGATGAATATATATAGTAAGTTTTTTTCCATCAAAAAATCCAGTTAGTTCCGAACTATTGGTTTTCTCATTGTGCTGTTATCTGCTTGGGTCTCAACTTGCAGTTTATTTGAGTATTATATACTTGGGAGTAGAATTGCTGTGCCATATGCTGATTATGTGTTTCAGTTTTTGAAATACCAAACTTGTTGGCTATTGTGAATAATGTTACTATGAACATGGATGCACCTTTGATACACTCTTTTTAGTTCTGTGCGTTTTGGTCAAACTAGTTGATAGTGTAGTTTGAGCTGTCTGTATCCCACCTTATTTTCTTACTATTCTATTAATTACTGACAGTGAGAGATTGAGTTCCTCAACCATTATTGTTAAGCTGTATATTTCTATTTTCAGTTATTTGTTTGCTTTTGGAACTCTGTTAAAGTTTAAAATTCAGTAGCATTAAGTATGTCCATGTATTATGCATCCATGTCACTATACTTTCCCAGAACTTTTTTATCATCCTATACAGAACTCAAACTATCACAAAACTCCCCATTCTTTTTCATCTAGCCCCTGAAACATACTATTTGACATTGTCTGTATAAATTTGCCTGTTCTAGCTATCTCATCTAAGTGTGATCATACAATACTTGTATTTCCTTTGGTGTCTGGTGTATTTCAGTTAGCATGGCATTTTCAAGGATTATCCACATTACAGTGTATATTAGAATTCCGTTTTTGAAGGCTGAATAATACTCTGTTGTGCATGCATGCAAATTTTGTTTATCTATTTGTCTACTGAGGGATATTACATTTTATTCCACTGTTTTGGCTATTGTGACAAATTGCCACCATTTCTGAGTTTCTGCTTGCAGTGTGTTTGAGCATTACATACTTAGGAATAGAATTGATGTCATATGCTAATTATTTGTTGGACTTTTTGAAATGATGGAGTTGTATCATTTTACATTCTTGCCTTAAGGGCATAAGGATTATAGTTTCTCTATATCCAGGCCATACTTATTTTTCTGAGGCTTTTTGGGAGTGGGATGGGTGTAGAATAATGATCGTCCTCAAATTTCGTAGAACAGTGGTTGGTTTTTTGTTTGTTTGTTTGTCTGTGTGTGTGTGTGTGTGTGTGTGTGTGTGTGTGTGTGTGTGTGTGTGTGTGGTGGTGGTGGTGGTAAAAAGCATTTACAGAAACTGGGTGCAGTGGGGCATGTCTGTTATCCCACCCTTTGGGAGGCTGAGGCAGGAGGTATCACCAGGAGTTCAAGGCCAACCTGTGCTGTGTAGGGAAACTCTAACTCAAGAAACCAAACAAAAGAAAAAATAAAAACAAAAGACACAGCCCACAGATAACATCATGAATAATGGTGGAAAATAGCAGGTTTACTGCTCAAGGATGACTCCTATGAAATACTTCCGTTCCTAGTTTGCAGAAAGTGTTGTTGTTTTTTTTTTTTTTTTAGTTAACCTTTTTGTTTAGAATATTATTACAGATAGTGATAGTTATGTCTTTCTAGTTGCTGAAAAAGTTTTAGGCCTAAAGTAGATTCTCCTAGAAACGTAATTTAAAATATGATACTGCTATTACATTCCAAATTCATATTATGAGGCCCTAACCCCCACTTGTTGTTATTTGAAAATGAGAAGTTTTGGGGAGATAAGTGAGTTTAGATGAGGTTGTAAGGATAAGGACTCACCGTGCAATTAGTGTCCTTATAAGAAGAGGCACTAATCTCTTCCACTTCAGAGGTCCCTTTCTCTGTATCTTTTTCTCTACCTCTGAACTCAAACCAAAGAAAGGCCAAGTGAGTACAAATTGGTAAGGTGGCTGTCTACAAGCCAGGAAAGAGCCCTCACTGAATTCTGACCTATTACTGGCACCTTGGATCTTGGACATAACACCCTCCAGAAGTGTGAGAGATAAATTTGTGTTGTTTAAGCCACTCTGCCTGTGGTGTTTTGTTGTAGCAGCCTGAACCAACTGAGACAATTTGGTACCTACAAGTGGAATACTGCTGTAACACATACTGTGTGTAAAAATATGTAAGTGGCTTTGGAGCTTGACACTAAGGAGAGGTTGGAAGAATTTTGGGGTACGTAGTAGAAAAAGCTGATACTGGTATGTAGGGACTATTGAAGGTGATTCTGTTGAGGGCTTAGAAGTAAAAGAGGAGAGCCATAAGAAAACTTTCATTTTCTTAAGAGAATATATAATTTTTGTATAAAATGTTAGAAATACAAATGTTAAGGTTGATTCTTTTGAGGCTACAGATAACAAGGAACATTGTTATTAGAAAAGGGAAAAAAGGTAGTTTATTGAAACAGTGACAAAGAATTTAGCTGCTGTTTTTGTTCTAGTGTTTTGTAGAAAGTAGAATTTTAAGCTATGAAATTGGATACTTACTTGATGAGATTTCTGAACAAAGTTTTGAAGAAATGGCTTGGTTCCTCCTTGCTTCCTACGGTAAATAAAATACCTGTGGGAGGAGAGCAGTGAATTGAAGAAGAAATTGTTTAGCAAAAAAAAAAAAAAAAAAAAAAAAAAAAAAAAAAAGCAAACCAGAATTTAAAGATTTAGAAACATCTTCATATTTGAGAAATGAAAAAATATATTTGATGGGGAAATTAGTATGGATGTGAATGATGGGCCTGATTAAGCACCTCAATAGGACACTGCTAGTGTAACTCAAAGGGAACAGAGGCCAGAATTAAGGAAAGCTGTCAGACGTAGATTGTGTAAACAGAGCAATGAGCTATTTGGCTGCAATTCCTCAAAACTGAAGTGATTCAGAGAGCCTCAGGATCAGTGTTCTAGTGGCTGCAGGCTGGTTGAAGCCTTAAGGTGCAGTTACCTACAATTTACAGCTCATGTGGTTTTACATGCTATCAATGGAGAGGAATTTTGCTTGGAATGTTGTCTCCAGTCTTAACTTTTTTCTAATTTAGATAAGATTGGACTTGTTATATTTTTTTCTGGAACGAGTTAAGACTGAGGGTTTTGGGAATGGAGTATTTTTTTTTTTTTTGCATGTGAAAAGAGAATGAATATTGGGAGAGTAGGGTTGAACACTGATGGACCAAATTGTGTTCCTCCCACCCCTGCCCCATATGTTGAAGTCCTCACTCCCTGTGTGATAGTACTTGGAGATGGGACTTTTTAGAGGTAACTGAAATTTAGAGGAATTCATGAAAGTGGAGCCTCATGATGGAATTAGTTGCCCTTATCAGAAGGGAAACAGATCTTTGAGTCTTTGTAATCACAAACTGAGGAAAGACCTTATTAGCACACACTGAGAGGGGGCTGTTTATTTACAAACTAGGATGGGAGCCCTAGATAGGTATCACATCTGCTGACATCTTGATCTTGAACTTCCCACTCTTGAACTGTGGAAAAAAATTATTTAAGCCAGCCAATCTATGGTGTTTTGTTACAGTGTCATGAACAGGCTGAGGTTGTTGCCTATCTTTATATTTATCTAATTATTTACATTGCCATAGTTAAACTTATTTTAAATGTTTTTTTGCATATAGATGCAAAGTAAGACTAATTGAAATGATTTTTTTTTTTATGGAATGCTTTTGAAAGAGTAAACAAGGTGAATCTGCCATTAAACTTTTCTGTCTTGTTTGTTCATAGACGTTCAGCCTGTTGCTTATGAAGAGCCCAAACATTGGTGTTCAATTGTCTACTATGAATTAAATAACCGTGTTGGGGAAGCTTTTCATGCATCATCTACTAGTGTATTGGTGGATGGATTCACAGACCCTTCAAATAACAAAAGTAGATTCTGCTTGGGATTGTTGTCAAATGTTAACCGTAATTCAACAATTGAAAACACTAGACGACATATTGGAAAAGGTAATCTTGTGTTTTGCTACATTCAGTTGAATTCCTTTGTTGTACTGTTGGGGTACCATGTATTATTTAAGGTTTCTAGAAGAATATAAAGTATATTAAGGCATAATTGCTGCCTCAAGTTGCGAATATTGAAGAATTAATTAAATAAAGACATGATGTGTCCCCTTATCTTGCTTAGTTTTTCTCTTACTACTGAAGATCTGAAATCATACTGTATCTTTGAATTTTGACTGATACATTGGCTAGAATATAAGTTTCATGGAAATTTACCCTGTTCATGACTGTTGCTGCAGAAGATAGGTTCCTAAACTATACAGTAGTTTCTTGAAGTGTACAGCAAATACTTACTGAAGGTTTGAATGCTGGTGAAAGATTAGAGTTTAATATTTATGTTATTTGTGGAATATCTTTAATTGAATGACCTGTAAGAATTACTGGAGTATTGGAGTTCGAGATAGGAAACCCAATTTGAATGGCAAAAATCTTTAGTGGGTTTATACCCCTTTCCCCATTTTTAAAATTCAGGTAACAAGGTTCTGTTTATAATTCATCCTGCAGTGTCAACACAACACACAAGGTACTTTTTACACTTTAGCGGTCAGGAAAGAAATTTTCCCAGGACGACTGAATTCCATGTTTCTTGAGATATTTTGTTTTTACACCTTGCTACTTTTTTGTTTCTTTGACTTAACAAAAACTTAATTTTTCTTAATTAAGGGACTGAGGATTTAGCTCAGTGACACACCATCTGCCTGCCAAGTGAGAGGTCTTGAGTTCTATCCCCAGTACCAAAAAAAAAAAAAAAAAAGGGAAAAGAGAAACTTAATTCAAAATAGGAACAATAGCTAAGGGAGGGGGAAAAATAAAGCAAAAACCAAAATAGGAACAGTAGGAAAATATAATCATGATGACATAAACATGGTATGGCCAAAAGTGTGTTGACGCCAAGCATGGTGGTTTCTGTCTATAATCCTAGTACTCTGGGAAGCTAAGGCAAAAGAATCATAAATTTCAGCCCAGTCCAAGCAAGTTAGTGATTTAGTAAGATCTTGTCTCAAGATAAACAAATAAGAAGGGCCAAAGGTATAGCTCAATTGAAAGACCCTCTATGTTCATTCCCCAGTATTGCAGGGGAAAAAAAGAAGTTGGAAACTTTTGTTTCTATTCTCTTTTGACTTCATTACCAATTTGCCATGATTTTTTTCTTGTGAAATGCTTTACTTGTATGCATTGGCCCTACCTTCCCTAACCCCTACTATAGCAAAAATACTTTAAGGGAAGTCTGTTTGGTAAACTTTACAATTATACACTCAATTTTCCCTTTTTTTCTAGTATATCATTCTAGGATCCTGTTGTTCATGGGTCATTTTTATTTATTGAAAAGCAAAACACATTTTTCAATAACCACAGCTTGATACAATTCTGTGGCTTGCATATATGCTAAAGTATATTGTGTACAGAGATGGTGCTAAAAAGTACTGTTTGAAAAATTTCCCATTAGAGATAAGAAAAAATACATATTTATCCTAGAATTCTATACAATATTTAGGGTATGTGAACAGTGGCAGATTTATATTTTGGAGCCTAGTAAATTCTCTAAGATTGGTTAGAGATGGTTGTGATGATTAAACTATGCTACCATTTACATTAAAAAACAAAGTAAAACACGCCCTTTACATGAAACCACATAAAAGTATTCCTGAGGAATATACGTATACATATTTATACACACACATGGGTGTGTATATATATATATTCCTGAGGAGTATACATACATATACATATGTGTATGTATAAAATGAACTATATGTTAAGAGGTTTGAAAGGACATACATCAAACTGACAGCAGTTTTTGAGGTGGTGGAAGGGTATATTAGGAAAATACTAGGTGACACCAGCTTTACTTACATAATGTGATTTTATTTTATTTTTGAGGCAGGATCTCACCATGTAGTTCGGACTACCCTTGAACTCACTGTGTAGCCCAAGCTGGCCTTGAACTCATGGTGATCATCCTACCTCAGCCTTCCAAGTGCTGGGATTACACATGTGTGCCACCATGCCTGGCTGTAATTTGAATTTTAGTATTGAAACTGTTTTCATGTAATATATATATATATATATATATATATATATATATATATATATATATATATATATCTCAAAACTTTTTAAAGTAAAATAAATCTGTTATTTAATAGCTTTTCCTGTGACCTGAAATTACATCTATGCTTTGGGGGAAGGTTACTTCTTTGCACTTTTAAAAATTTTAATTTTAAAAACAAAACTAAAAATAGAAAAATAGAAATGATATATATATATTTTTTTAATCGGTACCGGGGATCGAACTCACGACTGCCTGCTTGCAAGGCAGGCGCTTATGCCGCTGAGCTAAATCCCCAGCCCCTGATACAGGATTTTTAAAAAATAGAAAATTAACACTAGTTAATATAGTGTATATTGTTAGCTTAGAAGTAGTTGTTCAGGTTACAAAAATGATGACACAAACAGTAACAGCACAAAATGTTCTTTTTGATGAATTTACAGAGATTAGTAGTATAGTTATCTTTTTATACATACATGCACACACATATGTATACCTGTACACATATAATATTTTACCTTCTTTTCCCCTTTCTCCTATCCCAGTTGTTCTTTCTTTTTGAGCACTTTCTTTGCCTTTCATTTTCATAATATCTGTTGTACATTTTGGATCTTATTGCTCTTTCGGTTTTTTTTTTTTAATACTAGGGAGACAATGATATATTTACACATGAGTTTGCTATTTCACTTATGAGTGTGGTCCAAAGTTACATCCATTTACCTATAAAAGCCTCATGTTTATCCTTTTTATAGCTTAGTAATACTCCTGTTTCTCTGCTTTTGTTTTACCTTTTTTTTTTTTGACTGCTGTCTTTGTTGTTAGAACAAGTGCAAAATTGCCATATGACTATTTATAATGGTTGATAGCATCAGGCGTTCCTTTGAAAACAACTCACGAAATGTAATTTTAGTACACCTTTTTAGATATCTTATTCATAGAAATAATACAATGATTACTAAAAATGAAAAACCCTGTGGATAATATAGTAGATTGAGGCAGACATTAATCTCGTGAGTATATTTGGTGGCAGATGGCCATCTAGTGGTAGGTTCCATTTATGACTTCGGGAGATTGCTGTGGATTTCTGGGAAGGTTGGCTGCATCATTTAACCTCTTGGGTGTCATTATCATTCTTTGTTAAGCTGACTCTCCTGCTGCCCATCTTTTTAAGGTGTTCACCTGTACTATGTTGGCGGGGAGGTGTATGCGGAGTGTCTCAGTGACAGCAGCATATTTGTACAGAGTAGGAACTGCAATTTTCACCATGGCTTTCATCCCACCACCGTCTGTAAGATTCCCAGCAGCTGCAGCCTCAAAATTTTTAACAATCAGGAGTTTGCTCAGCTTCTAGCTCAGTCTGTCAACCATGGGTTTGAGGCAGTGTATGAGCTCACCAAAATGTGCACCATCCGAATGAGTTTTGTCAAGGTGAGTGGATTGTGATGTGTAATGTAATTTGAGTCACTGGAGTGGAAGTATGTGTATCTGTAGGTTATAATAAAAAATTTTGTTAAATTCAAACATGATTATTACTTTTGATCTGATTTACTAGGTTTTAATTTTAACCACAATAGGTCTAAGATTTCATTTTGTAATCCATATATTATAAAATGCATGATTGATTTTGATTTTTGATACTCCTACTGAATAGGTGTTGAGTTAAAGAATTCTAGTTAAAAGATTAAATTACGGGGCTGGGGATTTAGCTCAGTGGCATAAGCACCTGCCTTGCAAGCAAGCAGTCGTGAGTTCGATCCCTGGTACCGATAAAAACGAAAAAGACAAAAAAAGAAAAAAGATTAAATTACTAGAAAGCAGTTAATATGAGTGTCTTCGCTTCCACAGTTTTAATTATTAGATTGTATTAGAATGACTTAACTGAATTAGAATACTAAAATTATTTTACTTACATTTAAGCTTCAATTTGAGGACCTTGCAAAGTTCAAATTTATCAAATTTATGCTCTTGGCCTAATTTTGTTGAACTTTCCAAAGATTATGATTCATGAACAAATTGGGAAAGAATTTTAGTGATACCTATCTATCCATACATCCAATCCGTCTCCTAAACTGTATCCACGTAGTTCTTAAGGAGTCAAGATTTAGTTCAGAAAAAAGCTGACCTGTTTGTAGGGTTTTCTTCCTTCTTGGCAGTAAGGCTCGGTACTTCCTTGCTGCTTTGTTGAATGTCTGTTGTTACGTATCACTTTATCAGTTGCCTTAAATATATTTCCTCCTCCCTCTTCAGAAATATTTATTTTAATCTCTACTCCCTCATCTTCCCCAGTGTTCTGTCCTTTTTATTCTCCTTGTTTTCTTGGGCTAGGCCTCCTAAAACCAGTATGATAGAGAACTTGATAAATTCAAGACAATAAATGTGAAGTTTTTCTCTTAATTTTTATACAGAATTTTAAACTAGCATGTCAGCTCATTGCACCTCATTACTTTTCCACCTTTAAGCATAAAGACTGTATGATTACATTAAATTACTTGGGCACACATTGATCAGTGTCTACAATGTCTCATTTAAAAGTTTTTTTAAACCCTCAAAACCCAAACTTGACTAACAAAGTCTGATGTAAAGTTACATGAGGCTGTTTGTGGGTGTTATTTATCCTAGTGAGGATGTTTCTCGTGGCAGAAATATTAATGTTTAAATTATGTTCACCATATGACATTTTTAAAATTTTGAAAAATTGAAATCTGTCTAGCCCCATGGATTTTTTAAAGAAGAATATATATTATTTAAAAATTCATATATTTTTGAATAAATATATGAATTTATTCTTTAAATATGGTGAGTACTAAGCTTGGTTTTGTGATACTGTTTACATTTGCTATTCTATTGTATTCTATTTAAATATGTTAAGAAAATCTATTTAAATATATTAAAAATCTTTAATGTTAAACTATATTTTGTTTTAAAATTGATTGAGAGCAGTTGACAGCTCAAAGAGGGACTTGCTGTGATACTGTTTATTTCCATAGGGCTGGGGAGCAGAGTATCACCGGCAGGATGTCACCAGCACGCCGTGTTGGATTGAGATTCATCTTCATGGGCCTCTTCAGTGGCTGGACAAAGTCCTTACCCAGATGGGCTCCCCTCTGAACCCCATATCTTCTGTTTCATAATACAGAAGCATCCTTTTCAATTGTATGAGTGGACTTGTTTTAATTTTAGAGAAACCTCCAGTACAGATACTGTGGGTTGACATGGGAAAACAGATATTACAGATTATTTTTTTCTACACAATTGTGACCAACACATTTATATTATGTGATGAATCTACATTTGTTTGTATTCATGTTCATGTGATTAACTCAGAAGTTCTGAAAGAGGCAGAGGATTGTGCCCCCATTGAGAAGTTTGGCGTTGATCTTAGACTGGAACATGCTTTTATTTCCCCAGTTGCTCATTTTTAATTTGTTAAAATTCCTTAAAGTAGTGCATCACATGGTGAAAAAGCGTAGTGTTAAGAGAACATACATAGTGAAAAATAAGTCCTCCTTTCTTGATCTTCCAGAAGCTATTTCCTCCAAATTCTTCATCCTATAAACTTTAAAAAAAGTGTAATATGTTGTTTTTCAAAAGCATATTTTAGGGGTTTAAACTATTAAAAAGTCTTTTTTTTTTTTTGAAGGAACACTATGCACTGCTCTAACAAGTGGTGTTCAGTAAAAACGAGGTGACAGTTTTCTAGATGGCATAAAATTTACGTTTAATAATAGGTAAATGTCAGTGTAATGTGATGTCATGCTATATAACTTTTGTAAAACATTTCCTTTTTTAAAAAATTATACAAGTAATTGATCTATTATATGTCATTTATTCAAAATCTGTCGTAAGTACAGTATAGCTTTATTGCTAGTGACAGTGCATGCACGGTCCTATTCGGCTGTTAGCTGTGTTGGGCCAATGTCGCAAGAACTCTAATTTTGACCTGCATTAATCTTTTATTTTGCACTTTTATGGGTGACAGTTTTTAGTGTAACCTTAGTAAAACATACTCAAGTGACTTGGATTTGATGCTTATCCTTAGTGGGCCCCTTTTGTATTAAAGACACTGCAATATAGATTACAGTTGTAGAAAGCTATGCAGTTTTTATTTTCAACCTAGGTTATAACACAAGTATTCTGCAGCCCCAACTAAGGTGCCTTTTAAATTCCGTACAATTTTATGGATGTTACTAATGCTGGCAAATCATGTACCTAATGATGTTACTGTCACTTTGTATCATTTCTCCCCATGCAGAGCCCTGGAGGTGCCAAGGTTGAGGCTACTGCTCTCGTATTAAATGAATCAGCAGTAGGTGTTAGGATAGCTGATTTTAAAACACTCACATATCAAAAAAAGCGGACTATTCTTTCACCGTCAGTGCTCTTTTTCAAAAGTACCCAGATGGATGCTAGTCCCACAGAACACACTCCTCTAGGAGAAAAGGCATAAAACTCTGAAATGTCCATTGAATCAGTCATGCCTTTGGCACTGATCATAGGACTTTTAACCACTTTTTCTAGGGAGCAGTCAGGTATATCTTAGTTGTGGCATGAGAATGAAGAAATTATTGTGAAAAGATAAATGACCTAAGTTACTTATCAAAATGAGCTTTCTTTTCTGGTACCTTTTTAAAGCATATAGAGCTGTGTCATTCTTCTGTTAAAAATACTTTGGTTTGACTTTTGACTTTGCCCTTTCTGCTTTTATGAGAAAAAGTGCATTTTTAAGGAAAGGACTTTGTGATTTCTTTTGTTTTCTGTGTAATTATTTATTGCTTTTTCAAAGTGCAGCCATTGGATGGTTTTAGTTCCTTCTGATGAAATGCCATTTGTGTGTCAGCCCACCGCAGTCCTTTGCTGGGTAAAATGGATTCTTTCAGTCATCCGAGCCTTAAACATATATGTTATTTACATGTATTCTCACATTTCCAAAGTTGGATCAGCCACATGCAAGAGAATTACTTGCTTATTGATATTATTTAAGTATTTTCTTCATTCTTTTATTTGGCAGGCTCATAGCAATCTTTAGAACAAATTTATAGAAAAAAATCACTCAAGTTGAATGACAGATACATATAATCAGCTTTTGTGGGTTCTGGTAAACTAGTGGAAACTATTATTTAATTGATGTTTTTTACAAGTAAGCTAAAAATTTATTTGTAGTCATTGTGTAATAGTCTTTAGAAGTTGTCCTTTTCCATGTTTTTTTCAAGGAGTTTTTCTCATGAGTTAAAGTATTAAAGATATTAACTGTTAAGAGTTTCATGAGAACCACAGGTGGACCCACCTGTAATCTCAGCACTCCTGGAGTCTAAGGCAGGAAATAACAAGTTCCATCCTAGCCTGGGCAATTTATAGACTTCAAGTCGCTAAGGATGCACATGTATCTGGGAATAGGAAATGAAAATTATTAATAATATTAAATAGAACTAAAATTCTGGCCAACAAAAAGAAGGCATCTTTAAAAAGAAGCCATTTCAGAATAGAGTTAAGTTTTTTGTTTGTTTTATTTTGTTTTTGAGACAGGGTCTCAAAGGAGCAATCCTCCTGCCTTAGCCTTCCAAGTATTGGAATCACAGGTGTGTGCCACTGTGTCTGGCTTTTTTTTTTTTTTCCAGGCAAGGTCATGCCATGCAGTTTAGGCTGGCCTTGAATTCACTGTGCAGCCCATGTTGGCCTCAAATTTGCAGTAATCCTACTGCCTCAGCCTTTGGAGTGCTGGGATTGCAAGCATTGCGCCACCATACCCAGCAAGATTTTTTTTAAATCTAAAGAGTAGCTTATAGTCAAATTTATGAAAACAGCACATTAGAATAATTACATTTTATAGCATTTAAAATATATGTCAGCTAAAAGGTAATAAAATTGTATCATTTGGCATATGTATAAAGTAGAATAGAATAAAAATTAATCTCAGTAATGAATTAAAGCAACAAGTAGATGTTGGCTGGAAAAAGCATGATAAAGAGGTGTATCTGACTGACATTTCTTAGTGTATTAAGATCTGGTTAGTCTAATAAACGGTGGAATGCAAATCAGTAGGCTTGTTATTGGTCTACTGAAATTCATCCTTTGAAGAACTGTAAGAAATCAGTGAAAAACATCAAATGTATCCATCAGAGTATAAATAATTTTTTATGTTTTGTGGTTGTTATTTAAGAAAAGTGATTATAGAACTGGCTGGATTCAGAGGGTGAAATTCAGAATAAGGTTACTAGATAGTTCAACAAGCCACATCTAAATTACAGATAGAGGATACGCTATTTTGTATTTTTCATAATACTTGGGAGTAAGCATCCTTCTGAGATACTAAATAATAGGTAAATCTTCAAACTTGAAATCCACTGTCAGAATAAGATTTGGGGCCACCTTCCAAAATGGCATACGGCATATTATCTGAGGGGTACCTGTGTGGAACAGCTCCTTCTCCATCCAGTGTCCTTTTTCAGGAAAAGGTTTATATAAAAATAAAATCCTATTCAAGCAGACAAAGTCTTATGTTATAGAGAACATTTAGTATACTAGTTTAGATCCATTTCAGTTTTTCCTTCCTTTTTCCTGCCCCCTCTCCCTCCTTTTTTAGTACTTTGAGTTGAACTCAGAGTGGGCTTGAATTTGGAATCTGACTGATCCATTTTCTTTTCTTTTCTTTTCTTTCTTTTGGTGATACAAGGCATTGAACCTAAGGCTTGGTGCATGCTTTGTTTACTCTCTTTAAGTTCCCAGACTGGGTTCGACCTTGTGACCCTTCTGCCTCACGATCCCCGACAGCAATGATTATAGGCCTGCATCGCCACATTGGAGTTCCTTGTTGTTCTAGTCATTTAGTTAACAGTGCTTTGGATCGTTGTCACCTTTCTCACTTAAATACATTAATATCCTTTTTACTTCCTCCGAAGGAAGATTCTTCTGATAATCATTGAACTCAGCCTCCAGTGGTGCCTTACGTTTTAGACTTACTTACTTTAAAGACATCAGAGTCCTTCTTTGTCTTACTAGTTACATCTTTTCTTGATCTCTGGGGTCTGAATATATATGTGTCCTCAGAACCATCAGCTAGATAAGCAAGAATCTTTCAAGGTAGTAGAAAGTCTGATGGTTTTTGAAATGTTTAGTGATTTGCATAGGAAGGAGTTTTCCTAAGTGGTAGTTTTTAGATTTTTTTTAGATAGTAACTAGGCAGCTTTTGGGAAGATAATTTCCAGCTTGATACCTGCTTTTCCCAGAGTAGCAGCATTTTCTTTATTGAAACAGGTAAAATTCTTGAAGGTTTTTCTTATCACAAAATATGCATGTATGGAAAGTAAAAATTCAAGGCATTTTTTTTCCCTTGTGGAAACAAAAGAATTTACATGTGTGAAACTTGCAAAATCTCTTGGAATCCACTGGATTACAGTTTACTATATCCTGATAACATGAGGTAACGGTATTTATCAAGCCTTTGTTGTACCAGATTACTCACAAAAGAAATGTATCTCCCCAGTTGGGGCTGCTCAGAGGCAGACCTTTTACCTAGATGCTGGAGGCCCTGCATTCTGTCCCTACTGACCACAGTGATGGGCTGGGGGAAGACCTTCTATAGTTCCTAAAATACGCCTGTGTTATGATTGAAATGACATGCTAAAATTTGATAGTATACCACAACCAATGAAAGTATTTACACAATGATATTTTTTGGTAGTGGAGGATTTTTAGGTATGAATACATGCTGTAAGATTGCTGGCAGCAGTTGCTATGAAATAAGTGAGGAGTTACTTCATTATAAAGATCTAGTTCTAGAGCAGGGTTCTTTGATCCTTCATGGCAGAGTGAAACAAAGTTATGTGATTCTTGTCTAAACATCTCAGTTCTTAAAATTACCATAAGCCATTATCCTTTAAGGATTTATTTAAAGTTGCTATATTTAAAATGTTAAAAATTTTGTGTACAGTAGATTTCTCTCCCATCAATAGCACCTTTTTAAATACTAGCTGGTGTTAGCTAAACTCCTATTAGGCCAAAGAATCCCACATTTCTAATAAATAAATACATTAGTATCAGATTGTCCCATTTAATACTATTGGAGATGTGGCTTGTTGTACTGATAAAAGTATTTTAACTGTAGGGACTCTTGGTAATGGTTGGCGGAGTGGTATTCATTTTGACCTGGTTGAAAATTCATTTATTTTAAATTCGGATAGGATTGTAATTATGAAATCTGAATGTGTGTAACTACCCACATTCTCTTTTAACAGAATATTTTATGTGCAAATGATAAAACACCAAATTGATGGCTGCACTCTTGGTCTGCTTATTTGTACTTGTTCTGCTTCTGTTTATGTTGTAGAAAATGAAATTCTAGTAACATGCTTCAGTTCTATTATCTTTTTTGATACTTACAAAAATGTATTAGGTTTTACTATATTGTGCTTTTCAAAGCCATAACTCTAAGAAATTTGTTGTTACATTTTGTTTGCTAAATTTTATTTTAATAAACCTCAAAATCTTCTCACTGTGTCATATTTATTTGTGGTACTTTGATCTGATTTACGTTTTATTAAGTGGAGTCATAAAAGAGGCATAAAATTATCAGTTGCTGCAACCAGCTGAATTATTTTTCCGTGTGCTAGTGATAGAAAATACGATTATACCTTCCCTTCCCCACTGAGCTCAAAATAATCAGATATATCAGAACAATCACTCTCCCTTGTAAGCTAGCTTTTCTTTCTTTCTTTTTTTTTTTGAAAGGATGATTTGGGCCTACAGCCTTGGTTTTTCTGAGTTTAACCACTCCTTTTCCTTCTCCAGATTTCACTGTCTGTAAATGAGGGGGCTTCATAAGATAATTGGGAAACATAATAGGCAGATTGCATGTAGGATAGCTGGCTGCGGCATCTGCCTGCCTACATTTGAGTCCTGGTCTTTGTAGCTCCGTGCTGTTAGGCACAGTCTGTGCCTCAGTTAACTCACCTATAAAAGTGACTTCGTAGAACGTGAAATGAAGTAATACAAGTCAAGTATTAGAACAGTACAAAATAACTCATACTTCAGGTTATCATTCTCTTACATTTCTGTTGCTTACATGATTCAGAGTAATGATTTATGATGCTCCTTGATCTTGGTATATCAACCCTTGATTATCTACTTGCGAATTAGGTGTGCTTTTCTTTTTTATCCTTTTTTCCTTTTTTTTTTAAATATAAATCACAGGCTAGCTTTTTATCAGCCTTGTATGGTATACACTTCCACAATACCCTTTATATTACATATAACAAAAGCAGAAAAGCCCAAACTAAACAGCTTCACCTAAAAGAGTAAATACAAAGTTCTTCAAAGCCTTCCTCAAGAATTTGTAGCTCTATTACTTCTCATGTGATTTATTTGAAAGTATTGCAGTAGCTGTTGTAGAAGCATATTTTTTCTGTATAATACTTTTTCTGGCAAAAGATTTCAGTGAACAGAAAGTTGTTGACTTTTTTCAGATGTATGATAATTTTCAAATTGATGTAGCCGAAACAGTTAAAAATGATGAAGTGGTGACACTCAATGGCTAATACTCTCTGTTACAGCAGTTTTTGTATAGTTCATATTTTCTAAACATATAAAAGAAAGCTTTCAGCAGGCTGGGCAGTGCTTGTCAAAAAGTGACTAGAGCTCTGTATAGAATATAGAATTGAAAAGACGTTTTTCAAAACCCCTCTTCCACCTCATCACTGAACATTTAAAATATTACTGTGATTTTTGTTGTTGAATTTGTAATCCTATCTTTAATAAACATTCTGCAAAAAAAGTGTGTTTTTTAATCATAAAGCATTGTTTTGTTTTTGATTGTATTTTAAGGATTAAAGAAGTGAGGCTGAAGGAGCTGTTGGCAGTTTGGTTAAACAGCTCCAATTTAGTGTTGATTGGGAGACGGGAAGGGGAACTTTAAGTGGGTGATTGATTATTTTATGATCCTTGCAGAGATTATAAGAACCTTGTAGTTTAATTTTATTTCCCTGGTTTAGGCAATAAAAAACTCTTCGTGTTCTTCCCTGTGTGAGGGATAGGTCTTCCATTGCACTTGGGTCCCCTGCAGGGAGTGTCTGAGAAAAAGAACACATGACTTAATGTGTGTCACAGACAAATATGTGTCCTATATTTTGCATTTCAGATTAAAATACTAATATTGCTGAATTGTGCTGAGTGTGTGAAGATAGGAGGAGAGCGAGTTAGGGGAGAGATGTCAAAGGAAGAAAAGAACAGGGCTCTGCAGGGCTCTGGATGGTTGTGACAGGTTTTGCCCAGTTTTTAGTTTTGTCAACATTGTTTCAAAAACAATTACTGGAAGCATTCCCTGATTACCTTTTCTTTATATAAATTGTGAAATGTGGTTTCATTAACTTAGAATTGTTTAAACCAGCTTGGTGATGTCAGTGAATGTGAAGATGAATGAATCAGAGTAATAATAGGTAAATAGTAAAGGCTGAAGATACGCTGTTCATATGTTCAGATGCTGTTCGTATCCTTGTCTAATAAACCGCTTGAAGTTTGCAGATCTCACACTTCTGTCCTCCTTTAATTATAGAATGTCTATGGTCAGCTGGATTCTGTATTTCCCACCATCCTTTTCAGCTAGGCATGGTCATGTGACTAAATTCTAACTAATGAGGTATAAGCAGAAATAATACATGCCGTTGGAAGAACAGTGCTCCCACTCCTTTTTCTTGCTCAGAATGCATATACTTGAGTAGCCACTTTCAAGTAGACATGGAAGCCAAGGGATAAAGATTGTAGAGCTGTGCCACCCCTGGAAGGTGACAATGGAAACAGCCCTGTTGGGCGTGGTGGTGCACATGTGTAATCCCAGCACATGGGAGACTGAGGTGGGAGGATCACACAAATTCAAGGCCAGCATGAAATACAAAGCAGAACTGTCTGAGTAAATAAGATAACAAATATAAAAATAACCCCTTGCCATCCATCCTGGTAGGGGGTGTCTTTGTTATAACTACTTGAGTAACCTTGATGTTGTTACCTGGTTACTCAATTACTCTCAGCAAACCTGTATTTAGTGCTTATTCAGTTGAGCTTCTGGTACCTGTGGTCATAGTTAACTGCCCTCAGGAAAAGCAAAACTAAAACAGGATTAAGTTCCTACCTGTCTAGGTGTTAATCTGATTTGTAGTGGAGAAGCAGGAACCGAGAATGAGGGAAACGAAAATACATGTTCTGCTCCTGTATTTCCGAATATATTTTTGTCTAACCCTAAGTAGTAGCATATTGTTCATTTATTCAACCAATAATTGAGAGCTGTTGAAGTCATACTGAGGATTAAAATAATTATTTCCTTCATAGATCTTCATTCTAGTTAGTGGGATCAACCAAGCAAGGTAAATGTACAGTGTGTTTACTGGTAACTTCTAAGAAGGAAAAGCAGAAGGTAATGTCAGAATGGGAAATGGAGAGGAGTTACAATATTTATGTAGTAGGGAATATGTCATTGAGAAACTAATCTAAATTCAAGAAAAGGCAAAGAAGTCAGTAGTGGAAGTAGATGAAACAGTCTTAAGGCCACTGAGAGGGCTTGTGAATGATACTGTGAAGATTGCGCTTTCCTATAGGAAAAGGAATACTTCGAGCAGAAGTTCTTTAGTTTCTGGTGTTACGCAGCTGGAGCAGGACATGTGAGTTGCTAACAACTTTGTGGATCACTATCCCTGGGAGACTGACTGATCAGTAAGACAGAGTCCAATTTAATGTTTCATCTGTTACAAGTTTAGTGTAAGGTGGAAAATCAAAGGAGACTTGTTCAGATAATGAATAGATAGGCAGGCGTGGTGGCACGCATGTACCTGTAATCCCAGTATTTGGGAGGCCGAGGGAGGAGAATTGGGGGAGTTCAAGACCAGCCTGAACTACGTAACAAGGCCCTGTGTCAAAATCAAAAGAATAAACAGGTAAATGTACCTTAACTTCTACTTTGTTTTTCCATTATATACTGCAAATACTGTTGTATGCCTCTTTTGTGTTTGTAAACTGTGCTACACACTGAGGAAATGCAGAATGAAAAGGTGTCCCTGACCTCATACAAGTTAAGTTTTAGTATGGAAAACGGACATTAGGCTATTAATTATGCAGCAACTTAATAGCTGTGTTTAAGAAGATGATTTGAGACTGCTAGGGAATACAGTTGTTCTCTGCAGGCTCAGGAAAGTCCTTTTTGAGAAAGATTTTCATGAAGGATGAAAGCAATAATCAGAGGAAAAAGAAAACTGTGTAAGTAGAGGGGTTAAAAAGACATCATGAGCAGAACCTGGAGTGAAAGAGGAATGTGGGCATATGAGGAGAGTGGGATCAGGAGATTCTGGGCTTTGTAGGTCAAAGTTAGGATTTTGCTTTTAGTCTGAGCGAGGAGAAGCCATTTAGAGTGTACGCTGGGGCTGTAGGCGGATGTGTGTGTTCTGATTGGAGAAAGGCAAAAGTGAGTGGGAATTTGAGATGGAGTATCCACAGTGGAGGTGACTTGATGGAGTAGAGTGGAACCTAAGAAATGCTATTCTGCATATAGAAGGATGAAGAGTTTGGGGTCAAAAATGACTAGATGCTTTTTTTGTTTTTCTACAAAATTTGGACAGCCATATGCTGATACAATGTATCGAAATCGAGAAATTGAAAGAATATCTAATCAGAAAAAGGATGAGTGTTAGATTTGCTGAGTTTGTGGCTTGCTGTGAGATTCCAGAGTTACTGGGTGGGCTCAGAGATGCTGTGGAAAAGCCGCTGGAGCCAAGAAAGTGCTTTGCACCCTAACTTTGGGTGTACCTACTGGGGAGTAACAGACCTCTGTAAGCAGCGTATCCCTGACATAACAGCATATCCCTGACAAGGAGACTGCTGGTCAGTGTTGGAAAGTAGTTGCTGTTTGTACCATTGCAAGCACTTCCAAAATGTTTTCCTGGTTAACCATAATGATAGCTCACATTTAGAGCCCTTCCACATTTCAAACATGAGCTGCACACTTCTATCTACAGTGTCTCATTCGAATTTGAAGATCCTGTGAGGCAGGTACTACCCATTTTACAGATGAGAAAATAGGCTATTGAAAATTCAGAAGTGTGATCCAGGCTTGAGGTAATCAAGCACGGTCACCGGGCTCCAGGACTCAGCATTTTTGTCACCACTCTTTCCTCTCCCTGCAACCCTTGCCCTGTGTTGAAATCTCTTCTTAAACCTCTTGCCTGCTCACCATGGCTGGTTATAACACAGGAGCCCGCACATCTTTGATATGTACTGTATTCCTGTTTTTAGCTTGCCGTGTTCAGCTCTCTAAAGGTAATTTTGAGAAGCTCGGAATTGGTAGGACAGCAAAGGACAGGAGGATGCATGTGTACACATCACCTCCCCAGATGGCCATCTGTCTTACCTTTGGTTACCATAAGAAAATACTGTACATTAAGTGGCTTAAACAACAGAAGTTTATTTTCTCACAGTTGGAAAGCTGAAAGTACATGATTAAGGTTGGTTCCGTTTCTGCAGAGGGCTGTCTTCCAGCCTTGTAGATGAGCAACACCTTGCTTAGCCTTTTTTCAGTTCCTGGAGAGAACATGAGCTCTGGGGGTTCAGAGGATCAAGATCCTACCCATGACTTCATGTAACCTTAATTCCTTACTCCAAATACAGCTATTCTGAGAGTCTAGGTTCAACATACATTGTTGGACATATATTCATTGAGTCCATGACACCGTTCGATTGTATAACATTGGCGCTAACTTACTCTGTGTATTAGCAGAGGGCAGACATGAACTTGGCCATATCCCTTCAACCGAGGGAGAATCTGAGGCAGGATCCAAAGTGAGAAAGACCCTGTAACTTCTTGGCTTTTTCAGTGTTATCCTGAAAAGGGGAATGATGTTGTTTAGGGTCACAGTGCCAACAAATAATAGTCTCATGGGCCCGGCTTGCTTTCTAGGATGCAGGTTTATATAAGCCCAATTACCCAGGAATTTATTCCAGAAGGATCTATCTGAAGTGGCAAGTTTTGGTTTAGGTGGCAGAGGCTACTGTAACTGCACAGAGACATCAGAAAGATACTCTCCAAGCTGTGTCCATCCATCTACACATTTTTTGTTTCTAATACCATTGATTCCTTGCACCAGGGTTTCATTAAGGGACTCTAAGAGTCTCCTCAACCCCTGTGGCTCTAGCTGTGAGGATTTAGGAACTTCAAAGCCAGTCATTCACTCATGTTCTTCCCTGAAGAAACCAGCCCCTACATGTGTTTGTGATTATAGAAGTCAGTGGCCCCAGTAAAGAGCACATGGATCTGCATCTGTCAGCTCTGCTGCCTGAAGCCTTCAGCAGAGTTAAAGTAATAGATATCATTTAGGTGCCCACTTTGTGCAAGCATTGGGCTAGCTGGTTACATTGGTTATACTAATATTCAGCCTTGGAGAGCCAGGGCACAGACTAAGGTTATAATTCACGCAAGGTAACATATTTCTCAAAAGGAGTTGGAATTTCAAACCAGACCACCCAGAGGTGTGCTAGAGGTGTGCTGTGCCCTTGCCTTGGTCTCCTGCTTTTCACAACTCTCCAATCAAGGCTGAAGGGGCTTTTAATTCAGCAGCATACAGTTTTAGGGGTTCAGATTTAGCACTTTTATTCCTAGTTAGTCCTCTGTGCAGCTAAGGGTCATGCAAAATAACCAAGTTACCTTCACTGTGGACCAGATTAGTTTGACCACATTTCCGAAGCCTAAGCTGAAATGCTCTCTGGTGCCTAGAAGGTGGGAATCTTGGAGAGTGGCTGAGGAGACATGACTGCCTGCGGAATAATTCAGTGTCTGATAAACATTATAAATGTTGCAAAACTTCCTAGCTATATATTTTAGCCAGGGGCAAGAGTCATTATCTTGCTTCAGATTCTCAAATAATCTGTCAAATTCTTTTCCAGTCAAAATGTCTTTAAACTCTACTGTACCTTTGATCCAGGAGATTCCTGGAAGGATTTTTTTATTGTTCCCTCTCCACCCCCCCCCCACATTACTAAGGAATAAACCCACAGTTTGCTGTATGCTAGGCTAGTATTTTCATCCCACCTGAAACTCTTAAGCTCCTGCACAAAAAAGATTCTCTGGATGTGCATTAATTTTGAAAATGATCAATGGTATTGCAAACTTCTCTATTTCTTCTCAAGTTTGAAACTCCTCTAACAGGATTTAAAAATTTATTAATTTATTTTTTCTTTCTTTTCCTGTAGGATTTTCCAAGGCTGGCTTCTGCCTACTTAGAAGGAAATACTATGCAGCTGCCCCACTGTCCCATCCTGGATGAGTCTGGTCCAGGATGGCTCTCCTGAGGCTTGAGACCTAATAAAGTTTCTGAGAGAGAAAGGGCAGACAGGTGGGAGGGAGAAACTGCCCAGCAGAGAGTCTAGTGGAGTCAGTCCTGTTACCTAGAATTCTTTCCGCAGGATAGGTAGCAATTTTCCCTGGATTCAGCTCTGAAAAAACTTTGCAGAGTAAGTAATTGGCCCTGAGGAAAGCTAGAAAGGAGGAGGCGACATCAAACTGACCTGGGCCAGCCACAGCGAGCGGGGAGGAGGCCCTTGCAGCTTGGCTCTCTTCCTGCTTCCCTCTACCTCTCTTAATCCTCTTTTCCAAGAGTTGCAAGCAGTGACCAATTTTCTCAACGCTGGATCTAATTCGTTGAGTTTTTAATGTGGAAATGTGATCCCTGAAGAAGTGAGACAAGGATTCCGTCTGCAGCGCCCTGTAGGTGCCCCTCCACCGGGCGCCCCTCCTCTTCTGCCCAACAAAGGAATTAGGTAGTTCAGTCATTTTACTGGGTGAGGTGGTCTCCGAGTGCCATCATTCCAAGGTCCAGCTGAATTCACGCTCGGATCCTGGGATCAGTGCCAAGGAGCAAAAGAGGCAGGAGCAGCCACCGGGAGACAACTGAGGAACCAGGCAGTCCGCGCAGGCACCCCCTGGCTAGTTACACGCTGGTGCTGGCCCCTTTTATGGGCAGCGTAACAAAGTCAGCCGATAGCAGGTAGGGCTCCTGTGCCCGAGTGGACACACGGTCAGTCGGGCTGGTTCCTCGCTGGACCCACAGTCCTGGGAGGAAAGACTCTGCCAGCGGAGGACCTGGTGATACTGGCAGCGGGACCCCGCGCAGCCAGCACTGCCTCTAGCCCCCTTTATTCTCCGGTACTGCTCGGGGCTGAAATGGGTCTTTGGGTCAGGCGAAGTGTTCGGGGCCAGCGCCCCTCGGTGCCAAGTGTGCTCTGCCCGGCTCATGGTGGAGGCTCTGGGCGCCTGGAGGGCTAAACCGGCCGAGTCTTCCAGGGTGCCCGGGTGTCCCTCAGAGAGCGGTCGTGGGGCAGCGCGGCGAAGGCCGAGTGGCGCAGCTGGCAGCCGATGAAGAGGATGACGAGCGCCACGGAGAGCAGCAGCAAGAAGAAGAGCAGCAGGTAGGTAGGCAGGTCGGGCTTGGTGGCCGAGCAGTCCCGCACCCCGCGCGCGGTGGCCAGCTCCAGCGGCAGGGCGCCCTCCGCCTTGACCGTGGCTCCCGGGGCCAGGGCGCCGCCTCCCGCCGCCTCGGGGCTGCCCGTGGCGTTGAACAAGTCGCCGTACATGGCCCGGCGTCTGTCTGGCTGACCCTGGCGGGACCACCTCACTTGGCCCGCGCAGTTCCGCAGTACCCAGTGCCTACATGGCGCTCCTCGCCCTCCCTGCCGCGCGCGGCTGACCCGGGCCGGCAGACCCCGCCAGGCGCTCCCTTCGGGCTCTGCTGTCTCTGCTGCGCGGCAGCGGACTCCAGCCCTCGGAGCTGCACAGCTCTGAGCCCGCGCCCCTCGCCCCGCGCTTTCCCGTTTCTTTCAGATCCCGGCCCCTGACTCCTCACGGTTTTGCAGTCTTTCTCTTAGCTCTCATCTCCAGCTCAGGTGAGCTCGGACTCCGAGGCTCCTCTCGGGTGCAGCAGCGCTAAGATGCCTTGATGTGACCGCAGCTCAGGGACCTTGATAAACCTGGACGCGGAGTGCAAGGCGCGTGGGTGCCGCTGCTGCCTTGTCTCGGAGCAGTCCTGCAGCTGTGGGTGCCTATGGAGTCCTCCGGTGTGTGGCGAGCCTGGCCCCACTGGCTCTGCTGCGGTGTGCCACTCTGGAGATGGAACGCGAGACTGAGCGCTGAGGCAGCTCGCTGCTCCCTCCTGTGTGTGTGTGTGTGTGTGTGTGTGTGTGTGTCTTTCTCAGGGGCGGGGGGGGGTGCGTCTGCCCCCAGGAGAGGCTGCGAACCAATAAGGGCAAGAGAGGACACTGCTGTGACTGCCTTTGGCCAGCCCCACATCCCTCACGACTGAGGATCCTTAGGAGGGAGAAAAAGGGGGACGAGGGGAAAGAGGGAATGGAGGGAGGAGGTGGGGAGAGAGATGGAGGGGCGATGAAGACACACTTCAGACTTAGAGCAGAGCACCAGGCCTAACAGAGCTGCTGATGAGGGCAAGGGCTCAGCGAGCTGGGAACTCTTTCTTTCCCCTTCTTTAAGTCTTCCCTTCAGGCAGAGCCACTTTGCCCCGTGGGGAACTTCCACTGACTGCTGGGTAGCCTGGGCAGGTACCTGGGGCACAGGTGAAGCCTCTGGGGAAAGCAGGTCAGCTGGGGTCTGTGGGTCCATGTGCTCCCCCACCTTGCACTCACTTGCTTTGCAAGCCTTTCTGCTCCTGCTGCAGCAGAGGGGCCACAGGAGGAAGTGGGGCTGGCCCTGAACCACCCACCTGACAGCCGTGGAGAGGCTTGGTGGCCAGGACAGAGGTGGGACCCCTCAAGCCAGGGGATTGAGGGGCAGAGTTCCTTTTTCTAGGAATCCACACCCACCTCCTAACCCTTACAGAAAACTGGGGCCACTAGCCCCTTGCACTTCTACTGCCTGGAGGTCATTGCCCAGCAAGGCCAAACAAGCACTGAAAGGCCCCTGCAGAGTCTCCTATTCAGTCCCATGGGCCTCCAGGGTGTCTCTCTGGGCCAGGAGAGGGCTCTGTGGAAGGCAGGACACAGCCAACTCCTCACTGCCCCTTCTGCTCATCACCATCTCACACAGAGCTGGCTTGTCCTGGGCCATTGCCCAGTGTGTTTTAAGGTCACAGGACCCTGGGGCCCTATGCTTCACTCCCTTTTATGCTAACACTCAATTTTTGGATGGGAAAGCTGGCTTGGAGAGGGGCCAGGGCTTACCCTTGTTAACACAGGAGTGTTACCATGTAACAGGGGTGCAGTGCCTCAAGGGCAGCGGGCAGGAGTCCCTCTTTCAGAAGACCTGACCTATTTTGGACATTTTTCTCAGCCAGTGGGATCTTAGAGAACATTTTGAAAACCAGATCAGGTTTCTAGCATGTTGACTGGATGGAAAGATTTACCCAGGAAAAGGTTCTGATCGCCATTACTCACTTTGTCCTATAAGGCTTGAAAGCAGGATCTGAGTAGCTCAGTTGGGGGCTTGCCTGGAATTTCCTCCTAGGTTCTGCATGGAGGAGTATCAAGGCCTGCTTTCCTTACTTCTTCACAGGGCACACATCATACCAGATGAGAACCCAGGAAGTGGACTTCCTGCTGTCCCCTGGGCAGCTCATGTGGGAGGTCCTAGGTAAAATTCGTGGCAGGGTTCAGCCTTTGGCTACAGAATGAGGAGTGATGGAGGCAATTTGTGGTAGTGCTTGGGAACCATGATATGATCATCCAGGAACTGGCTGTGGAGCAGGGGAGTCTGCAGAGGGTTTGTCGTAAAGGGAGGATCCCTGTAATTCCACTGCTTATGGTAGGAACAAGCTGATCCCTGAGCTTAGGATACTGCTCACTCCTTCCCCGCAGCTGCTTTTCATCCTCAGGCTTCGAGATGCCACACCCAAGAATAATGAGCTGGGGCTTGAACCTTAACAGGGAGCTGCCTCCTCGGGCTGAACTGTTCTGCTAGCTACCATTTGTGATCCTTTAACCACAAGCTGAGCATGACACTTGGGCTTCAAAGTTCATTTTTCTTACCCCCAACACCTGTGATAGCCCTGCTGTCTTCATTCTCAACAGGAGGAAGCAGAACCCCAGGAAGGGGTGTCACTGCCAAGGTCACACAGCTAAGTTTTGGTGCAAGGGGAGCCTCAAACTCAGGAGCCTGTACATGCAACTCAGTACTTGCTGCCTTTCCTAACCAGAAATTTAACAAAGAATATGTGATCAAACTGTCTTTCTCTTTGCAAATTAGGAAGATGTATGCTTCCTTTTTTGGGGAGGTCCTTTAGTCATGACATAAGGAGGGAATGGCTTCTTTTTCAAAAGATGTTTCAAGTCCTGAGAGGGTAGTCACGTTCCCTGCACGTCCTGGACAGGAAATTAAACAAGACTGCTACTGAGTAAATGCAGAGATTAAGTTTACACAGCTTTTTATACAAGCCAGGGCAACCTTCCATTAATGGAGCTTTGTGTACTCATACATTTAAGTCTTCAAAAAGATTATAAAAGGGGACTCAGAGGTCTGCTTTGATAGGCAGAGGTCACAGGGCTGAGACCTCCGAGTGACCTCTTTCCCATTACGTAGTTGTTGAGTGGCACACGTGCCTGTCTGCAGAGAACCTGAAGGAGTCAAGGCAAGGGCGCTTTCCCTGTCACAACAGAGCCATTTGGCAGCTGTTGAGTGGAAACTCAGAGACAGGGAGTAGTAGAGCCCCAGGATTTTGTAAACTGTTTTGCAATGGCTTGTGGTGCTTGATGAAGCAATCTCTATTTCTGCCACATGCGAGCGAACTTATTACTAAACTACATAGTGTCATATGGCAGCTGGCAGCAGAGATCAAGGGTGAAAAGTTGCTGTCGAGAAGGTTAGGGTTGGTTGTTCCTATGGTAGTGTTCCCTATGAATGGAGGTGAGGGTGAGTTTAGACTGCTGCAGTGAATGCTGATAATACTGATGATGATCTGCCTGGAGAACTTTTTTTTAACCATCAGCCTTAGCATTACCCCTTGTTGTTGCTGTTCTATTTCTACCTTTTTTTTTTTTTTTTTTTAAATAGGTGACGTTGACAGTTGTAGTGGTGGGTGACTTAAGGTTTAAGGTCTTATTTTAGAATAGGCATTTTAAGAATGAAGCAGCAAGGAGCCCAAGTCTAGGCTCCAAAGGCTCAATGTGCCTATGGTTTGGATCACGAAGTGAGAAATTGTGAGCTTATAAGGGAGGGATGATTCCCCAAAGAGAGGTCACAAAGGGATACAGATGCCTGTTGCAGGGAAATCTCAGTTCTGTGGGGCTGGTAGTCTATAGTTTCCCGGTCAGATCAGATGGTGGATTGGAAAATCAAGATGCCCAGTTCTGGCTGGGGCCATCTGAAGAGGGTACAAATTCACTTGCAGGCTGTAGGGGTTTTTGGCATTGACACTGGTGATAGCTGACTTGGGGTGTGCTGATTTTCAGACCAAGTCTCGTTGTTCACTGGTTAGTGCCTTCACATCATTCTCTATGTTCCGCTGTTGTATGACCTTGCCAGCCTTAGACTCAGCCATGAGGACTGGAGGCAAGATGAGGAGAGGATGCCGTCCAATCAGTGAGGAAGACCCATCTCTGTGCACAATGATGGAGAACTACTTTATGGGAAGGCCTGAGACTTGGTGGCAAGAGAAGGATGGAAGAATTTATGCAGGAAGAAGTTGTGTTTTGCTAGGTTGCATCTTCCAAAATTTACCTACCTGCAGTATGCAGTAGCACTTTAGGTAGTACCTGCATATAGTGTTAAACATCACTGGATTACCCAAGGGCAAAATTTCTGTCTTCATCTGTGTTTCTTATTCTTATTATGGCAAGGAAACAATTCCAATCTGGTGCTGTGTCACTCCTGGTCCCCCAAGAAACATGTATGTGAGAAGAATTGGGTGAAACACTTGAGTGATAAAAGGCACAAGAGCAGGTGGCAGCAGGGAGAACCTTCAGATGGCAGTGCTGATGTGATCCCTGGGAGAGAAGTGAGGGAAGGGGCGGGAAAGAAGAGCTTCACACTAAAAAGGCTCATCTGGGCCCCTGGAGGGTTCCTAAGCAAATGATAGGAAGTCCCAGTAAGCAGGCCATATGTGAGGTTTGCTGGCCCAGTGCAGGGTTATCTTTTCTCTGTTCAGGCTGGAGCATGGTGATCCTTTGCAGAGGGCTGTTGAGTCTTGGAGAAAGAGACAGGTGCCAGGGGTGGAAGTCTCAGTAAGACTTACCTGTCCTCAGAAGCCCCCTTTACCTGTCCCTAACCCTGACATAGCTCACCTTTTCTCACTGTCACAGTGGGAGAGGCAGTACTGACTGTCTCCTGTTGGTTGTGTGTCTCTCACTCAGGGTCTTCTCAGGGTGTCATTGAGACCCTTGGGTTTGCTTCTGACTCTGGCATGATGAGATCAGTACTCAGGAGATTGGCCAGGGCCTCATTTCTGTGGTCAGTGGTAGACGATCATGTATGTCCCAATCTTTGGGTTTCTGTGAGCACTCTTCCTCTTCTTGCTAGCAGTATTTCTATTGACTTAATTGGTCCTTAAACCCAGAGCTCCATTGCTGAATGCTGAGATTACAGCAGCCTCTTGCCCTTTGCTCAGGCTGGGGTCATCTTCAGGAGTAGATCTACTTGTCTGGAATCTAGACATTGTACATCTTAGGGGCCCTTTATGAAAGTAAGATCCCAGGGTTAGGTTTTAAAATGAATTTCCTTAGAACAGGAAGCAGAATAAAAGTGAATTGAAAATATAAAAAAAAACTGACAAAGATCTCAAATGCAAAATGAATCAAAACATTATGTAGAGTCACTGTCCAGAAAGGAGGAACTTAGGAAGGCCTCTGGCTCAACCGTTGTAGGCTTCAGGAGCAAACCTCCTGGGAGGCCAGGGACTGGGCCAGGTAACCTAGACCCCAGCCATAGATAGGAGAAGCGTCAGCTAGGAAGATGGGTCTGAGATGGTCCTGGGGTTAAGCTAGGCTGGGTGTAGTAGATGGTGCAGACAGGAACCCTCTGCTTGGATTCTTTTTCTGAGCTGGGGGCCTAGGTGGGCAGTTAGGACCTAGCATCCCTCTTGAGATTAGGACTGCCCTACATGGATAAGCATGTCCTCTTTATTACCTCAGCTCTCCCAAGAACCAGTGCACACCTGTGACACCTGTCTTTGACAGAAAGCTCTTCCATCCTTATGGGGACCCATGTGATTGGCCTGGTGTTATGCTTTCTGTCTACATATCTGCCCGAATCCTCATGCACTTTTCCATGGGGCTTTTTCAGAGGCAGCTGCATCTAGAGTT